CCACTAATGCTCAACCCTACACACCATAAATGATAAAAACACCCATAGATGATGGGCCCTACAGTCCACAATGGCCAGAAATATCCCTGCCACTGTACCGTGCCCCGAAATCCTCCCCTCAACAGGTATGTCACCGCCCTCACGCTCCACACTGGTGAAGAGCCTTGCTACCCCGCCTTATGAGGTCAAATTTCTCGCGATAACCGACGTTGCAACAGCGAAGAGTGACGCCAACCAGTCAAGCTATGCACCGTGAATATAAAGTCATTCAACACTTTCTACAGATATCTTCCTGTTGCCGAATAATAACATAACTCCAGAAGGGGCCGAGCAGTCGCGGTGCCATCCATGACAACTCTCGCCTCAACGTTGTAAAACCTTCAGACTTAACAGGAAAGAACCTTTAAATTGCCACTAATAATTAAATCTTTGACATGCGATACACATCACTGCTATCTTTAGTTACCCATGGCTAAGTCAGGCCCGCTATTATGGTCATTCAGCCAGCTGGTTTGTCAAAGTTGGGAGGCGGAACCCTCCATGTCTGTACAACTCTCATCTTCACTGTCTATTTACGACGGAATTTTGACTGTGCATTCATGTGAAATCTACGTCTTGTGATAGTTTAGGTGTTCAACTTGCCTAGTTATTAGTACTTACCTTTTCCTTAGCTCTGCCCGCATGTTTTTGGACAGTTTTCGCAAAGAGTCCCCCCTTGTTCTCCGCCATCTTCGAGTCTTGGCCCACCACTGAAAAGTTGAGTACCTGCCACAGATGGGGTAAAACTAAACTGTTGTGAAACGTACTTCGGAATCTCACGTATTTTGATTTTCACACTGTATAATATCCACCTTAATTTATCAACTTCGTTTGGGACTGATGTATTTTTTTCTGTCGGCCTCACTGCAGAAATCCCGGTGTATAACTGCCCACCGTAAAGGAGTTTCACCCTCAGAGAGCAGTGCCAATATTATTGGAACGCCCGGTGAGAACTCCCTAAAGTAGTCTCAGCGAGCGAGATTTTGTCGCTGACCGTCACTGGAGGCGTACGATCACTCATTTAACTCAGACAAATAACACACGTCGAGCATAAGAGAGACTTTTAGCAAATTAGAAGAAAAGTCACCGCCAACGAGCTGGAAAATATGATGTACATAGATATGTAACATGACACCCATAGCAGTTTGGCACTGGTGAAGCAACAGGTGTTGGAGGGAGGCGAGGGCCTCACCGACTGTAGACGTTGTTCTCAAAACTCTAGGTGGGAGAGTTACCACCGCTGCCTCAAACTTGCTACCTTGGTGTAGTGTGGCCCTTATTTGGCTCTGTCGCGTGCTATCATCTCCCACCTGCACCATCTTGAATACACTCTGTAGTTGCATTTCTCTGCGCAGTTTATTTGTTGCACACGCGAGAATATGTACACTCGAATACCTGGGCTTGCCTGGGTTGAGCTTCAGCTCTTGGGTCCCGACCCTCTTTTTTCAATTGATTAGTCATAGAGCTCTATAAATTACCGGAGACAAGACAGCATTATACTTATCTTGGTCTCTCTATTTAATGGCGAGGCTTTCCGTGTTGTCAGCCATCCAGCCTACTGGTATTTAACCTAACTGACCGAGTGGCACCCACATCATACACTGCCAAAGCCAACATTTTACCCTCAATATGGAATCTGCTGCCACTATTATACTTCATGCGTTCATTCCATTTACTATGGCAAATCTTTTTAATCATTCTCTTCCTCTAAGTAACGAGGATCTAGACTGAACACTTCCTGGAAGCTATTTTTAATACTTCACATTTTCCTGGCCATTTGGCACTAACGAATTTGGACAAACAGTAAAAAGTTTGGTTTTTGTTGCTAATAAAACCCAACCTATCCTAACCCTATATATGCTATATGAAGCCTAATATAGTATATGCTATAGTAGGCCTAGGATTATTCAAGTTTCGTTTTTAGCTTTATTTTTTCTTGACTATAAAGTGAATAGTACTAAATTCTACTAATTGTCTATTGTGTCAGTATATGTACTATGGTCCACATACTGTAGTTACACAAAATACTATCTAAAAAGGAGGATGAGTTGGTATACCAGACATGACAGGGCTGATGAAGAGCAAATGGATAACCGACTAATATGAATATAATTCGTTACGTCTTTAGAAGAAAAATATATATTTCAACTTGCTCAATTAGTGTTTTTTGGACTACTTAAGATGACATGGTTTTAGAACTAAGAGGAAGTGTTACTGTTGAGCCGCTGAATTGCTAGGATCACTGGAACCCGAGGGGCCGAGGTTTACAAGCCGACCTGTAGATATCCACGACACAAATGTGGGAGCGTAATCACGACACTATATACTTGACTTACCTGAGAGCCACTAACCATAATGGCCTCGACGAGGACACGAAGCCGGCAGCTTGTCGAAGGTCCCTCCCCCCCCCTCCATTTGCCTTGATATTTTCCAGGTATATTTTAAAACTGGACAGTTTTGGCATTTACGGCTTCGGCGGGTAGGCGGTTCCATGGGTTAATAACCCTGTGGGTGAAAAAGCATCTCCTGTTCTCATACACTGTGGCTTGTTGAGCTTTAAACAGTTGTTACTTGTTTGTGTTACATCTGACCTGAAGAAAAAATCCATATCAACCTCTAACTTTTTCAGTATTTTAAAAGTTTCAGTGAGATCCGCAGTGTTATGCCTGGTTTGCAGTGTCGTTAGCCCTGTGGCCTTCAAGCATTCCTGATACGAGAGATGACTTGGCTCTGGAATGACTTTTGTTGACCGGTGTTGCACCTTCTCCAAAGCAGCTATGTCCTTCTGAAAATGAGGTCTCCATGCTTGGATACAGTAACCCAAATGGGAGCACACCAGAGATTTATGCAGTTGCGCCATTACCTTCTTTTACCTTAGAGTCAAGAGTATGCTTGATTATCCCAAGTGTTTGGTTAGCTCTTCTGACTGCTGCACCCACCTGTTGTGCAACTTTTAGTGAGTGGTGGATTTTGACTCCAAATTCCATATTCAACAATATGCAATATTGTTGAGAAGTGAAACTGCTGTAGGCATTCATCCTGCTCGCTGGATTAGACTACTACTACTACAATAATAGGCTACTGACCGAGTATAACAGGCATCAACATTTCAAGAGTTCGAGATGGAGTTTCAGGTCATCAATAAGATCTTTTTTAAATGACATGTATAGTTAAAATATTTCGTCCACATTGGGGAGCCCAAATATGGAATTCAGGTGTAAGTATTACAGTACAGTATAATGTGTCATTGATTTTAAGACTTTACCACTCTGAAGAAGTATACAAAGTTTGGTTGCTTGAGGGTCCCAGAAGTACAGTTGGGTTCATTCTCAACTCTCAGTCAAGAATTGTTTTTCAAATCCCAGGTAGGACAGAAATGATTTGGCACATTTCCTATCACCTACTGCACCTGTTCACCTAGCAGCAAATAGGTACCCAGAATTTAGAATTCATAATTTTAATAATTGTTATCAGAGGACAGGCAGCCAGTGTACTTATTTGTTACTAGATAAACAGAGGAATTAGGTGATAGGAAATGTGCCCAACCATTTCTGTCCCACTAGGGATTCGAACCCAGAACTCCCAATTGCGAGTAGAGAATTAACCCGACTATACTACTGGGACCCTGTGTGTATACACAGGATGCCTGTCCCCTGACAAAATGAATTCATTATTTTTGTATCTTAAGATACAGTGTGTGTACCCCACAGCTGAAGTAGGGGGATGCTGGCAAAGGAGTCTTATGGGATCAGAGAAAGGGTACAGGTCACTTAGTCGAGAAGAGTGGATAGCATCAGAACAAGGAATGCCAGCAAGAGTTGGAGCTTCCAGGTGGTGGTTCACTCATGAGCCTGGCCACTCACTACAGGTGCCTTAGGTAACTAACACAGGCATATATGAATAAATAAATAAATAAATAAAATAATAATAATAATGTCTATGTCCTAACCCTTCGCTGTAGTTTCAGGCATAAAAACAAAAAACTAAATTTGCATGCAACCTCAGTCTTCAGCAAAGAATGGGATCCAGAATTTTTGTTTACATTTGAAAGAAGCTATTGTTACACATTTGAATATGTGCATTTTCTAAGCTGGCACGTGTTGTTTTTTATTTCTGTAATTTGATTTAATAAACTGACCTCCAACAACACTGATGTAATGTACATTCCATTCAATTTTCTATGCATATCACTATGCAGAATATCCCTTAACCCTTAAATTTTCAACTCAAAACTTACAGTACAGTACTGTATAAACTAATGACAATTTTGACAAACAGAGCACCAGGGCTATTATGTTTTTAAAATATATAATCTTGACAATACTGTACAGGCTGTATAACCAAAATGGAAAAGCTCTCACGAGAGCATCGCTTATCACAATGCATATTCATGTTAATAATGAACTGGAAAAACAAAGTACTGTACTGTAATTGCATTTAAATCTATGCCAAAAGGTGATCAATAATTATAAAAAGAAAAGTCAAATCAAAAATAGATCTTCAACACCAAGGGCCATAAATATCAAATTAGAGAGAGTTCTTACTAGTAATTTACAATAAAATTTTAGTCACTTTATACAGTACTGTAAAAATTTTAATTTGTCACCTTTTGGTTTTCCATAGTCAGGAACAGAAAGCCTGCTAGGCTTATTGAAGTCCCCCCCCCAGGCCAATTCCTGACTTTCCTCAGGATGCAACCCATGGCAGTTCCCTACTTCCCTGGAACATATTTATTGTTAGGTGAACAGCAGCATCATGTGAAAGAAAACTTTACTGAAATACTTCTTTCAGCTGTGATCCAACTGCACAACAGGACCTTTGTGCAATAATACGGTCACTGACACCCTATCAACAAAATGGGTGTACAGTACAACCTTCGGATTAGGTTTACAATATACTGTACAGTACTCCTAAATTCTGTTCATATAATATTAATCACATTGGTATTTAATCATTTATAGTTTCATGGTTTTATGGAAACAAATTTTATTGGTACGCATATACAAAATAGGCAAAAATCTTACAATTAAAAAGATGAATACAAAGTAAATGCTGCCGGTCACAACACTGGTGTTCAAACACCTATCACAAAATGTAAACAGCCACTGTAATCAAAGCAATTAACTCATCAGACTGCTTCCTCAAAATGCAATGACTAAATTGTTAAATATTACATATGTAAATATTTTAAAACTAATTTAAACACTGATTGCATGACAATTTTTAGGCATGGCAAATATTCCTTTCTCTAGATTGTTTAACCTAAAATAAGTACTGTACTATCTAAAATGTTGCAAGCCATCAATATCTGGACGTAAAAATACATTTTATATGTGCAATATTTTCAGCTTTTGCAATTTTAGAAGATTCCAGTACAATACTGTAGTATATTCTCAGGATAATACAATCTAAATCCTTATCATTGATGATAAAAAATATAGACTGAACATCACTATTGCTTTTTAATGAAAAGGCACACACACTTGTGTAATCAATCTAACATCATGAAACATTATATAAATAGAATACTTTGGATCAAATTATAAGTAATACAGTACTGTACCTGGTATAGGACTAACAAAATATGAAGAGTAGAATCACACAGATTAAGTGATTAATGTATTTCTCAATTTCCAGTAACCAACACAAAACTGCAAGAGCTACTTCAGTTTTCTTTCATCTACGAGACCTTGGACTATGTAATGGAGATGGTCAGAGAATTTAATAAAGGAAAAATTGGTAACTACGCGACTATGAGCCAAATCTCCCATATTGTCCTTTTCATCAACACCAGTAACAAACCTCTTCATTGCCTTGGCAAAATCTTCTGGGTCCTGCTTGCAAAGAAACCCTGTTTCTCCATTCACAATTGTCTCTGTGGGACCTCCACTATTGACTGCTATAACTGGTGTGCCAACATACATGGCTTCTATTGGTACAATTCCAAAGTGCTCCTTGTCTGGTGTGTAAAGAAGACATTTTGCTGATCTGAGAAGAGCAACTTTCACCTTATCTAAAGGAGACTTTAGGAAAGTAACCTTATCTAGTATGTCTAAATTAATGGCGAGTGCAGCTAACTCGCTGTAATACTCTATGTTTTCCTGCACTCTGTCATCATATCCACCAGCAATTATTAAGTGAATGCGCGAGGCTTCAACTTTGTTTAACGAATCTAGAAGCAATTTCATGGACTTCAAGGCCAGGTCAATGTTCTTCTTACGTTCAAATCGATTCAGCGAGAGGAATATACAGTCACTACTTATGTCTAAACCTACATCTTTTAATGTCAATGATGAATATTTATCAAAATTGTCAAAATCTAATGATGGATACAAAACTGATGGTGAAGTTTTGATAGATTTAAATGTTTCCCTATATACACTAGCAGTGAAGTGACTGTTTACCAAAACACAGTCAGCCTGGTTTGTTGTTTTCTCCTCTAAAGTATCCAAAAAATATCTATAAACTTTTTTAAGGAAAGATTTTCTCTGTGTCAATAGCTGGTCTGGAAAATGACAATAAAAAATTATTTTTGTATTGCTTTTAAGTCTTAGGAAAGGTATGCATGCCGATACCTGATCTACAAACACAACATCATACTTCACTCCACTAAACATAACTAGATACAAAGATACATAAATCATACGAATATACGCCCAGAATGCTGCTAGCATTCCAAAAGTGGAACGTGGGAGCCAGTCGCCAATACATGTTACTTCTAATTGGCCATCCCTAGTTTCTGGAAAACAGTGTCCAGGATCATGATGGGCAGTAAAGAACTGGACATCATGGCCTTTTCTCTTAAGTGCCAAACCAGCATCTACTACAAGACGTTCAGCACCACCAATGCCGAGATCCGGGTGAACGAACACTACTTGAACCATGTCTGAAAGATATTGCAACTACAAAGCAAGGACATAAAAACAATAAGAAAATTGTATTAGCATACATTATACATCTAAAAATAAAATTGTTAGGTTTCTAAATGCCTTCAATAAATTTGAGTGCATCTCACACTGAAGTAATGTGCAAGAGTTCTTCACGAAAATAAAATATCCCATTCAGTCACCAAATTTTTAAGGCTATATTAATAAATGTATTATCAATATGCAAGATATAAACAATTGGTATGGTAGGAAGGAAAGCAAAAGCACAATGTACAGTGTGATTTATTATAATACTGATGGAGGACCAAGGTTCAAGATATACGAGTGTTCTAAATAATTCTAGTAAAGTAGGGATAAAAATCTTAAAATTATAATATGAACCACAATACTCTTTACAATATACTGTACTGTACTTTTTTATAAATTTAAATTATATTCTGTTACGTCTTGTTACCTGTTGTAAATTTCTATTAATATTGCAATGTATTACAATTGCACTGCATCCTTTCAGTATTATGTCTTAATGAATTTATGAGGAAAACTTATAAATGCTTAACCTGGACCTCCGTCACTATGTAGTGCCAACTGTTAAAAACTAAGGGTATTTGAGGTAGGTAAAGTAATTAAAATGTAAGTGGCAAAAATGTCAAAGTATGCCGAGTGAGTGATGGATGAAGCTTACCAAGGAAATTCTAAAGCAAAAATGAAAGGCACTGTCTCTCGGCATCTGTGATGCTGGGCAACCCCTTAAAAATTGCATTATGGTGATAGATTTATAATTACCAATACCAATGTATAAATTTAACAAATTGGTTTTGATTCTATGAAATAAAAAATCACTTTAGATGAAACCATAAAGGTTGATAGTATACTGTATATATACTGTAACAATTAAATAAGGTAGTGTAAATATGAAGAAACAATGTGTTAGTTACTGCCTTTGAATATTTTATAATTTTCATGACTGTAGCCTAAAGTCATGAGCAACAATTTCTTCTCATACAGAAAGTGATCGTTATTAAATCACGAAACATCCATAGCAGACAATCTATCTAGCCGTTTGGAATTCCCATCATTTGGTTAGTCTATTATCACACCAACTCTCACCAGGAATGGTGGAGGGGCCTCAATACTAACAAAACTACAAATGAAACAGTTGATCTCATTAGACTTAAAATACTAAACAAATTGGAAGATATATTAATCCAGACCACTTCTTTGAAAAAAAAAAAGGACAATGCAACTCCCACAAGGGCAACAACTTGAAGCCCAATAAGCCATAATGTAGGTCAGATAACAGGATTTTTTTTTTCCCCCATGGGGTAATAAACCATGGAATCTCATACCCACCAAAGTGTAAATGCCAATTCAGTACAAATGTTCAAAATTTAATTGGAAAAAATCCTCATGAATAATTAAGGAGTAATAGCCTTACCATGACCAAATTGTAGAATCTAGAATTTTTAGCTTATTTTTACTAAAATATTTTATTTTATTACTAAACTACTGCTATTACTATTACTATTACTAAACTATTACTAAATTACTATTACTAAACTATTACTATTACTAAACTATTACTATTACTGCTTATTTTTTACTAAAATTTAAAAAGTGTGTAATTCCATTAGGACAAATTATATATATACAGTACTTTTATTTTGAATTTTGTCAAACAAGATACATAGGGTAGGGATTCTGCCAGGAAAGTGCCCTTTCTGAGGGAATTAAGGAACGTTTTTGGTGTACAATAACATGAAACAACTTCTTATCACTAGCAATAGATGAAAGCACTTACGAGCTGCTTCTTGTACATTACATAGGAAATAGTTCAACATTCATAATAAAAATTAAATACTAGTACATATAAGTACTGTACATGATATATTATTTAAATTCATACAAAATCTAATTGACACAGGCCATATAGTATCTACAAATAAACTAATACATTTGAAATTTATTGAATTTATTGAACTGTTCCAATACGATGAGAACACCTGTCAACGACAGGTTGGCTAGGTATTCCAGGCTTGACAATCCATTCAACGTCATGAAAGGATTGTCACAACCTGGCTAGGGCAGGCCAGAAAGACACCATGTCAGTGTGGTCACTCAACCAGTGTCTGCTCAGCCCCAATAGTGCTTAACCTGAGCAACTAAGCTTCTTGGTTAGTGCAACCAGTTCTCAACTGAATAATAAAATCTTTGATTCTTGGAAAAGATGAGACATTTGGGCAACATTCTTTTTAACACCTGATGCCTCTGTTCACCTAGCAGTAAAATAGGTACCCGAAAGTTAAACAAGGGTCTTGTTGGCGTATTGGGACTTGGGTAAGCCTGTGAAGCTTATACAAGTCCAAAGACTTTATTTCTGTCCCCGACAACAAAAATCAAATACCATTTACAATTTTCCTGTCCGGTACATACCTCCTTTATAAGCCGTGTACGACGGCTGATCTTCTAGGTGACGACTCTGTGTAATGTGACGCCTGGACAGAAGTGACAAACAATCGTAGACAGGACCAGCCTACCTCGACAGATAACTGGCAATACCGTCCAAGCCAGACGAGTGACAGCTACAGATTTAGACAGTTGACTATCAGTAGCAGCCAGACAGTTGGGGGAACAAGGGAATGAGTGTCAGGAGGGGACTTGACAGTCGTGTGTGTGTGTGTGTGTCAGGAGATGGACGTCAGCAAGGCGCGCCAGGCTCCGCGCCTCACCTCCCCCACGCTCCTCACACCTCAACACTCACTCCAACTTGTCATATTTGTTCCTCACTTTAATATATACATTTAATTTTAAATATACGTAACATTACTTCTAAACCATTTGTATAGCTATATTCATATATATTAAAATACCTTTCAATTTTATTAATTGATAAAGATGCATTATAAGTGTAACCATAAACTAAAAGAAAATCTCTTCTTAATTCCTGAAAAAACTAACTACTCTATCTATTTACTGTTTCACTTCGTTATACGGTATAGCAAAACTGTTGAATAATCTATTAATACAATTTGTAACAACAAACGACCTTTACAAAAGCATCTCTCGTAGAATAATTACTTTTGACTGATCAAGGCTCCATAATGTGGCAAGCGTTCAGTCAGTGCTCAAGCGACCGTTAGTCATATATTATGCTCAAAACTAATATTAATACTAATATATTACAAAATATATTTACAAAAATAAATACTTGTCAAAAATATTTGAAAAACTAATCTACAAGCAGCTTTACTCTTATCTAGCCAAACACAATATACTTAGCTCTTGTCAATATGGCTTCAGACCCAAAAAAAGCACTAACGATGCACTTATTTGTATGATTAACTCGATTCATGCAGCTCTTGATAAAAATGAGTTCCCTGTTGGGTTATTTGTGGACCTGCGTAAGGCTTTTGACACTGTCAACCACCAAAACCTTCTTCTTAAATTACATCATTATGGAGTCAGAGGACACTCCCTGCAATACCTCAAATCCTACCTTACTGACAGGCTCCAGTATGTTTCTGTGAATAATACAATTTCTCCCACCCTACCCATCAACATTGGTGTTCCTCAGGGCAGCATACTTGGCCCTCTCCTCTTTCTCATCTACATTAATGACCTTCCAAATGCCTCCCAACACCTCAAACCAATTCTATTTGCTGACGACACAACCTTCATTTACTCCAGTCCTGACCCCCTTGCTCTAAATGCCACAGTAAATACTGAGCTAAATAAAGTCCATCTTTGGCTAACTGCCAACAAACTCACCCTTAACATTGACAAAACTTTCTATATTCTGTTTGGCAATAAATCCTCTAATCAAATAAATCTCAAAATAAACAATACCCAAATTTGTAACAAATTAGATGGCAAATTCCTTGGCATTCTCATTGATCACAAGCTGAATTTCCAGGGACACATTCTAAATATATAAAAAAAAGTTTCAAAAACTGTGGGCATTCTTTCTAAGATCAGATATTATGTACCACGCTATGCCCTGGTGACTCTCTATTACTCCCTCATCTATCCATATGTCAACTATGGTATTTGTGCTTGGGGTTCTACTACCCAAAATCATTTGCGTCCTCTAATTACTCAACACAAAGCTGCTATTAGGACAATATCCAACTCTGGCCACAGACATCACTCGGTACCCCTACTCAAATCTCTGAACATGTTAGATATTAAGTCACTGCACATTCTCTCATGCGTATTATACATATATAAAACGCTGAACTGTAATGCCAATACTGACCTCAAAAGCTTCATTGAAGATTATAACAGAGCCCATGAGCACCGCACCAGAAATAAATTCAGTTTTGATATTCCATGAGTACGACTTAATCAAACTAGAAATGCTCTACAAATCAAGGGACCCAGAACGTGGAATGACTTTCCCAACCATGTTAAAGACTGTACCTCTCTCAACCAGTTTAAGAAAAAAAGAAGCACTACCTAATAAATTCCCTGTAACCTACCTTACCCCTCACCATTTGGTCACCACTTGGTCCGGGAGACATCTCCCGTCACGCAGGGTGGAGTTGCGCCTCCACAGATCTCCAGTATCATCTTTTGATACTGGTAATGGCTCGAAAGGGCCACCACTTACGGGCTATTCATGCCCGTGCCACCTCTTGGGTGGCTTAATCTTCATCAATCAATCAATCACCTTACCTCTCTATTGTCAACCCATGTCTGTTTTCTTAAACAACGCTGTTTGTCTACCTAATTGTATTTGTGCTGCTTTTCAGCCATGTTCCCCCCCTTTTTATCTTTATTTTTATTTGTTCTCAACACATTTTATTCTGTATACTCAATTAGTATTAAGTTTTAGTCATTAACGTTTTACTTGCCCGAAACGCTTTGCGTAATAGTGGCTTTAGGCATTGTATATACTAGCTCTATCTATAAATCGATCAATTTATGTAAAATCTCTTGTATGTATGTACCTTTCCTGAATAAACATTTTATTTTTTATTTATTTTTTTAATAATAATACAGCTGATGCCATCTGTCGGCAGAAAAGAACACTATCAAGAAGTCATGGTAAATAGTAGCCATAAGATTCAGCTTATGCCATCTGTTGGAATCAAATTGCACTATTAACATTTTACCCTTCAAAATACACCTAGCGCCATCTCTGATTTTTCCAACGCACTATAAATAGCCAAACAGCAGCCCATAAGGCGGGTTGTTGTGTTGAAGTAAGAAGTCCCCCCAACCCCCCACTTGCTTCCATGTCATTGGTAGAAACTCTTTGTTGACATTCAGCACAGCCAATCACAGGAAGGGATCAGCTAAAGGTGCCATCCACTTCATAAATTATATCTTTGTTCTGCTTACCAGTCCTACTTATGGCATGCTGTTTCTACTTTAATCTACCTAAAACGTAAAGTGTTAATTATTTAAAAGTATTAATAAAGTGATAACTAAATATTATATTATAAAAAAGTGTTATAGAAATCTGGCCTGGCTACCTAACTTCTCCCGTCTGCAGTGGGAGTTGCCTGACAATAATAATAATAATCTATAACATCGATGATACGATGCTCCGCCCTCTTATTGGAGTACATTATTAAGTTAGATAAACATTTCTGTCAGGGACAAAACATGATGTGGATAAGGACGTATTTCTTAGTTTGCATTTCATTCATAGAAAGAGTGTTGGCATTCTTTGCAACAGTCAATCACAGGAAGGTATTTGCTACAGCCTCGCCTCCTTTGGGGAGTGTTGAGTACACCGATCTCGCTTATGGCTTTCTGTTTTATCTCTTGTTAATTACAAATGTAAAGTTGTTACGCAAAATGGCTAAATTCTGCCATTTAAAAGAGCTCATAGTGGATTTTGTAATAAAGTTTTATGGGAGAAATGTTATACCATTTTTCTAAATATCTTCTCTGATATGGGTGTTGAGTTTTCTATTCGTCTACACGTTGTTTATTAATACTTTACCTGAGGGCCACTAATACTAGTGGACAGGTAGCCGGCGGCTTGTCAAAGGTCCCCCCTATTTGCCCTGATGATCTTTTCCAGCTGTATTTTAAAACTCAGCAGAGTTTTGGTGTCTATGCCTTCGGCGGGTAGGCGGTTCCACGGGTTTCCAACCTTATGGATGGAAAAGCATCGCCTGTTTTCCGTCCTATATTGTGGTTTGTTGAGCTTGAACCCGTTGCTCCTCGTTTGTGTTACCTTTACTTTCCACTTTACCATAGATCTTAGTGTCATCTGCAAATTTGATGATGTGGTTTGTAATATTCTCATCTATGTCATTGATGTATATGACAAAAAGGTTTGGCCCCAAAATGGACCCCTGTGGCACCCCACTTAGTACATTTCCTCAGACAGATTCACTCCTCTTGACGGCTTCTCTCCAGTTCCTTGTGGATGTTATATAAGTCGGAACAATGAGTCAGGGCTCTGCGTATAAATGCGTTTATTACACTAGTCTTATATCTGTCTGGACATTCGGAGTGACCATTCATACACATTCCAATGTTGGCGGGTTTAATATAAACTTGTATAGTGAAAGTGTTGTCTTTGGTTCTCACGTAGACATGGAGGAAAGGGAGTCCACCATCGATGCCTATAGTTCATGGGTAAAGTTAAGCACTGAGTTTAGGATTAATTGATCCTTTAATCGTGACAGTTCCTGGAGGTCTTTCACACATACAAATATATCATCGATGTATCTGCAGCTACTTTTGTCGTTTTGAAGTTTTTCTAGTGTTCCCGTATAGAAGTTAGCAAAGAGGACTCCCAGTAGAGGCCTCATGGCTACTCCGGCTATCTGCGTATACATGTCTCCCCCAAGGGAAGACTACAGGAGTAACACCCTGGATAATAAACACAAAGAAGCAGCCCAGCAGCAACACAAGTCCATAGAGAACATCACAATCCGGAGAGCAGATAACACCGTACCCTTCGTCCTCATCCCGACTGATGAATATCCCCAAAGTAAAATAAATCCTCCAAGATGAGACAAAATTCAAGAGGAATACCTTCTTCTTGATAGTAAGTGCAGTTTGCATGAAGGATTTGTCCTCCCGATGACTGCAAGAGGAATTCCAGAAACCCAACTGAAGATATCAACTTCGGTGTTCCTCAGGGCAGCATACTTGGCCCTCTCCTCTTTCTCATCTACATTAATGACCTTCCAAATGCCTCCCAACACCTCAAACCAATTCTATTTGCTGACGACACAACCTTCATTTACTCCAGTCCTGACCCCCTTGCTCTAAATGCCACAGTAAATACTGAGCTAAATAAAGTCCATCTTTGGCTAACTGCCAACAAACTCACCCTTAACATTGACAAAACTTTCTATATTCTGTTTGGCAATAAATCCTCTAATCAAATAAATCTCAGGATAAACAATACCCAAATTTGTAACAAAATAGATGGCAAATTCCTTGGCGTTCACACTGACCACAAGCTGAATTTCCAGGGTCACATTCTAAATACATAAAAAAAAGTTTCAAAAACTGTTGGCATTCTTTCTAAGATTAGATATTATATACCTCGCCTTGCCCTGGTGACGCTCTATTACTCCCTCATCTATCCAAATCTCAACTATGGTATTTGTGCTTGGGGTTCTACTACCCAAAATCATTTATGTCCTCTGATTACTCAACACAAAGCTGCTATTAGGACAATATCCAACTCTGGCCCCAGACATCACTCGGTACCCCTACTCAAATCTCTGAATATGTTAGATATTAAGTCACTGCACATCCTCTCATGTGTATTATACATATATAAAACGCTGAACTGTAATGCCAATCCTGACCTCAAAAGCTTCATTGAAGGTTGTAACAGAACCCATGAACACCACACCAGAAACTAATACCGTTCTGATATTCCAAGAGTACGACTTAATCAAACTAGAAATGCTCTACAAATCAAGGGACCCAGAATGTGGAATGACCTTCCCAACCATGTTAAAGACTGTACCTCTCTTAACTAGTTTAAGATAAAAACGAAGCACTACCTAATAAATTCCCTGTAACCTACCTTACCCCTATATTGTCAACCCATGTCTGTTTTTTAAACAACGCTGTTTGTCTACCTAATTGTATTTGTGCTGCTTTTTCTGCCATGTTCCCCACTTTTTTATTTTTATTTGTTCTCAACACATTTTATACTTTAATCTCAATTAGTATTAAGTTTTAGTCTTTAATGTTTTTCCTGCCCGAAACGTATTGCGTAATAGTGGCTTTAGACATTGTATGTACCAGCTCTATCTATAAATCGATCAATTTTTGAATAACCACTTGTATGTATGTACTTTACCTGAATAAACATTTATTTATTTACATTACAATCCTCTCATGGTGGTGTGAAAAATACAATCCTCCCAGGCTCTCGTCCCCCATGGAGCTCCCAGGCTCTCGTCCCCCATGGAGCTCCCAGGCTCTCAGCCTGGGAGGGAGTTAAGAACAACAATTAAAGAGAATATCCAATTATAATTAACCCAACAATTAATATGAATTACAATTACAATAAATTCAACAACAATTAACACCGTATATACGACAAACATCCTAACCAGACGTTATATGATGATATCATCAACAGTAGATAAAAAAAATAATTGCAGAACTTCAGTTACCTAATACCAGCATTGAATAAAACTTTATCATAAGCTACGGGATTTGTGGATCAGTTTAAAGGGAATTCGGAAGTAATAATAATACAGCTGATGCCATCTGTCGGCAGAAAAGAACACTATCAAGAAGTCATGGTAAATAGTAGTCATAAGATACAGCTTATGCCATCTGTTGGAATCAAATTGCACTATTAACATTTTACCCTTCAAAATACACCTAGCGCCATCTCTGATTTTTCCAACGCACTATAAATAGCCAAACAGCAGCCCATAAGGCGGGTTGTTGTGTTGAAGTAAGAAGTCCCCCCCCCCCCCCACTTGCTTCCATGTCATTGGTAGATATTCTTTGTTGACATTCAGCACAGCCAATCACAGGAAGGGATCAGTTAAAGGTGCCATCCACTTCATAAATTATATCTTTATTCTGCTTACCAGTCCTACTTATGGCATGCTGTTTCAACTTTAATCTACCTAAAACGTGACGTGTTAATTATTTAAAAGTATTAATAAAGTGATAACTAAATATTCCATTATATAAAAGTGTTATAGAAATCTGGCCTGGCTACCTAACTTCTCCCGTCTGCAGTGGGAGTTGCCTGACAATAATAATAATAATAATAATAATAATAATAATAATAATAATAATCTATAACATCGATGATACGATGCTCCGCCCTCTTATTGGACTACATTATTAAGTTAGATAAACATTTCTGTCAGGGACAAAACATGATGTGGAAAAGGACGTATTTCTTAGTTTGCATTTCATTCATAGAAAGAGTGTTGGCATTCTTTGCAACAGCCAATCACAGGAAGGTATTTGCTACAGCCTCGCCTCCTTTGGGGAGTGTTGAGTACACCGATCTCGCTTATGGCTTTCTGTTTTATCTCTTGTTAATTACAAATATAAAATTGTTATGCAAAATGGCTAAATTCTGCCATTTAAAAGAGCTCATAGTGGATTTTGTAATAAAGTTTTATGGGAGAAATGTTATACCATTTTTCTAAATATCTTCTCTGATATGGGTGTTGAGTTTTCTATTCGTCTACACGTTGTTTATTAATACTTTACCTGAAAGCCACTAATACTAGTGGACAGGTAGCCGGCGGCTTGTCAAAGGTCCCCCCTATTTGCCCTGATGATCTTTTCCAGCTGTATTTTAAAACTCAGCAGAGTTTTGGTGTCTATGCCTTCGGCGGGTAGGCGGTTCCATGGGTTTCCAACCCTATGGATGGAAAAGCATCGCCTGTTTTCCGTCCTATATTGTGGTTTGTTGAGCTTGAACCCGTTGCTCCTCGTTTGTGTTACCTTTACTTTCCACTTTACCATAGATCTTAGTGTCATCTGCAAATCTGATGATGTGGTTTGTAATATTCTCATCTATGTCATTGATGTATATGACAAAAAGGTTTGGCCCCAAAATGGACCCCTGTGGCACCCCACTTAGTACATTTCCTCAGACAGATTCACTCCTCTTGACGGCTTCTCTCCAGTTCCTTGTGGATGTTATATAAGTCGGAACAATGAGTCAGGGCTCTGCGTATAAATGCGTTTATTACACTAGTCTTATATCTGTCTGGACATTCGGAGTGACCATTCATACACATTCCAATGTTGGCGGGTTTAATATAAACTTGTATAGTGAAAGTGTTGTCTTTGGTTCTCACGTAGACATGGAGGAAAGGGAGTCCACCATCGATGCCTAGTTCATGGGCAAAGTTAAGCACTGAGTTTAGGATTAATTGATCCTTTAATCGTGACAGTTCCTGGAGGTCTTTCACACATACGAATATATCATCGATGTATCTGCAGCTACTTTTGTGGTTTTGAAGTTTTCCTAGTGTTCCCGTATAGAAAAAATAATTGCTTATCATTACACTATTTATTATTATATTTTTTATTATATGTATATATTATTATATGTATTATTTATTATTAATTTATTATTATTTAATTTATTATTTACTATTATAAGATAAACAAGTCCCCAGTCTGAGTGCGTTTTCTTCCAACCTCAGAAAAGAGGACTCCTAGTAAAGGCCTCATGGCTACTCCGGCTGTCTACGTATACATGTCTCCCCCAAGGGAAGACTACAGGAGTAACACCCTGGATAATAAACACAAAGAAGCAGCTCAGCAACATAAGTATATAGAGAACATCACAATCCGGAGAGCAGATAACACCGCAGCCTTCGTCCTCATCTCGACTGATGAATATCACCAAAGTAAAATAAATCCTCCAAGATGATGAGACATAATTCAAGAGGAATACCTTCTTCTTGATAGTAAGTGCAGTTTGTATGAAGGATTTGTCCTCCCGATGACTGCAAGAGGAATACCAGAAACCCAACTGAAGATATGTTACAAGTCCAGCCTGACAGCATTTCAGGTGATAGGATGCTGGTGATGTGCAAGCAGGCTGTGATTAGTCCCTTGGAAGGGATAGAGGGACACCGGAGAAGTTTCAGGGCGTGGTAGCCTAAATGTAGAGACAGGCAGGTTACTACATCCTTCATTAGGGGTTATGAAGGTAAAGAGCAACAAACTTCTTTGCTATACAGAAAGGTGTGATCCACTCTTAAAGTAACAAAGAAAGAAATGATTAGCACAGTGCACTAATGCAGAATTATTAGGAATATTATAGTAAGGTTGAGAGTTGACAATCTCCAGGTTTCTGTCCCCTTCCATTTATACATGTTGCAGACACACCTGGGTCATCCATTGAATGTGCATAATATATCTTTATAAGACATTCCTCACAAATTACTGCAGTTCACTGCTCTGAGGGTGACCTGGCTTATTTATATTTGTTTCTGTTTTAATAGAATTCATATTGAATACTAGAAGGTGAAGGGACGATGATGTTTTGGTCCGTCCTGGGCCATTCTCAATTCGATTGTCCAGGTCCAGCTCCAGGTCCAGGACGGTTCGAAACATCGTCGTCCCTTCACCTTCTAGTGTGTGGTCTGGTCAACATACTTCAGCCACGTTATTGTGACTCATCGTCTGCATTGAATACTATACATATACAGCACTCATAAGATAATAATGGTTTGGGAAGGCTAGGAAGGGTTTATTCCATAAAATTTGGGCATGGAACAAAAGAGTGTATTTGGTTATTGGTGGATGAAACAGATGGTGATGTTATCTTGACTGCTCATTAGAATCTCCCCTGAGAACACCTGGCCACACAGCCCCAGAACAATTGACATTAAGCCTGGACATCTCAGGCCATGCAGCTCATAGATTGATGGACACACCAATCAAGTTTGAAGTAATATATATATTTTTTGTTACTATTTTTAAATAATATTCAAAGGGATAACAAAAAAATACAAAAGTTAAAGCAATAGTGGAAGTAAAATTTTATTGAAAAAGTTTAAGATATGGCAGTGATAAAGAATTAGACAAAAATCATATCTTTATATAATTTTATTTATTAGTTAATAATAGTTCTGACATAATTATGGACTTTTCCAATAGAAAATCCCATATTTATCGCAGAAGTAATGAAAAAATATCGTTTATCAAAGAAGGAATTGGAATATGACCTAAACTTAAAGCAAGAACCTCTTAGGAGGCCCTTGGTATGGCAGTGTCAACCCGATAAACGCTAAATTAGAAAAGTAGAGTACGGTAATTAAAAACTTAATATATGCCTATACTAAAGCTATAAACATGTAGCACCACAATTTATAACAAGGTTAAATATTAATTTATATTTTTTCTTTTTTTTTGTCTAACTTACAGCAGTCTACATTTGGGGAAATACCAAATATGTTGGAGCTCAGCAATGTGCATACAGTATACAATTTCATACATATAATGTTTAAATAGGGCAAATTTTCTAATGAGCTCTTGCAAAAACTCAATAATACAACAATCTCACAGAGAGAGGCAGCACCTTGTGGACATAAGGAAGACATTTAATTAACATCATTATTTGAGCAGAAAACAATGTGTTTGAGAGTCTGAACGTTAGTTAGTAACATAATGCATTTATACAACTAACTAAATGGCTGATTTATAGGTAGTCATTTTTCCAATTCACTTTTACATACTTGTTGGTGATTACATGGTAATGATGAGCTTCATAAATGCTAATGGTAAGAAGCCACATAGACTAGACAATGACATATAATCTATTTACACTGGCATTTATATAATATAAAATAAAACCAATAAGCAAAAAGCTTATTCAATTATTGGCATCTGATTGAAAATTTTGACAGTAGTCTGTCATTTCTGATTGACAGTTTCTTGATTTAGCTCTAATAATTAACAACTATTAATAATAAAAAAAAACGTTTCCACCCTTTCCCTTAAATTAGTTCTTAATACAAACTTGGCATCTTGAGACCCGAGTGAGTAAACTGCCAGCTTTGAGAGTCTCTGAGACAGGCCGTGAAAATTGTTCTCTTTCCTCAATTGTGGCAAGCCAGAAACTAAATTTGTTGGCAAAGTAGTGGCAAGTTCCTCTTGCTCCATTGCACTCTATGAATGGCGTAGCTCTGAAGTCCTCGAGACACGAACCTGGACTGCTGAGGGACTGGCCGCCGCCTTCTGCACCGGCAGCTGTGTGCTGCAGATTGAAAGTTGTGTTTAGTTAGAGCATAAATATAGTACGTTAACCACTGTACATGCACAATGAAATCACATTAACGTAATCCATCAATGAGAAAATCAGTATGAGTACTGAAGAGGATTTGAACCTGCACACTTTTTCACATCAACTATTAATTGTAATTGGAATATGAATACAGTACATCAACCATTATCAATGGAATATGAATATATCAACCATTAATATATCACCTTATGTATTATATGTATACAGTACTGTATTGGCCATAATTTAATTCTGTTTAGGCCTTTTAAAAAAAAGTCCAATACTGCATTTGTACACTGTATTCTTAAATAGCTTTATAAGTTCTCAGTTAACACAGTTCAGGACTGATTACCTTCAATATTACGTTCAAAATCATTAAATATTGAAAATATAATGAGTTAGCCTATTACTAATACCACCTTGATTACTATACATGCATTAAGTCTTCATACTGTATAATAGTTTTAAGTTCTTAATTCTGCATGTCATTCTTAAACTCGTATAAGTAACATCTTATTTATTTATTTATTTACTTAAATACAAGAGGGTACATTGGGGGTTAAGAGAGTACATAGAAATGATGTTGATTTTACATTCTTGTAAAACCACTAGCACGCATAGCATTTCGGGCATACGAAACGCTAATATACCCAATATACCTACTTAATATGCAGATTTTAAGTCACAATAATGTGACAAAGTATATAACCCTCTTTCGGCCATTCTGTGTTGGATTTAAGGTTCTACGGTAACTCCCAAGCATAGTGTTTCCCAACTTTTGTTGACTCTTGGCCCTGTTTTCTAATATGTACTCAAAAAGACCTGTGACACCCTGCTATACACTGAACCTAATATGTTCAATTGCATCTGTCTTGGCTGTGTTCTCTGGATAGCTAAAACTTGACTGACTCGGTTATCAGTGCCAACTGGTGGGACGTGACCCATTTGTTGGAAATCACTGCCCTAGCACCTATACTGCACATTTAGAGGTCACTACAAAAATTGTCACTGGTGCCGAGCATGTAATGTTGCCTAACCACAGGTGATCTTATCTTACAGACATATCGGACCTTACCTTAGAGTGCAGCTAAATAGGAGAGTTCAGAAAATAATGTATTCTTGATCATAGGATCTTTTGATCTTTTACTTTTCACATATTTTTTATTACAGCTTATACCCACTACCATAAGCTTTAATATACCTGATCAAAAGCTACAAGGTTGACTTTATTCCTAGTATGTCACACTACAGCACTGGATCCATCTTTAAAAAGATAAATCAACTAACAATGAATGCTGCATATACAGCATAGTACCTGTACTGTACTTGTATAGACTTAAAGAGATTTATACCTAACTAGCTTAGATATGTCAGCATTGATGATGATGAAAATTAAAGTACTGGTATGATAATGATAAATGATAATACCTGTAATGATTATGATTATAATGATTAATGAAGATTAGAACAATACATTTTCATTGATATAGAAACACATGAATAAAGGCATATAATTCACAAAGTTTTTGTTATGCAATGGAAACAAAGTTTCAAGGCGAAACATCGTCCGTTTATTACGGATATTTTATATTAGGGCATATGTGCCTATGTGCTGCCATTAATTTGTGCTCATAACAATGTAGAAAACAGGAAAAACAAAAATAGTTGGCCATACCATAACAAAGGAGTAGCCAATCCACATGCCGGACCATCCATTGGGACACTCCGGGATACTCAATGACTGGCTGTGGACAGCAATCACATTTGCTGGAGCCTCGCATACCACACATCTGACAAAAGATGAAGAGAGTTTATCTTGATGATAAGTTATAAAGAATGAAGATCTGTTTATCTACATGTACCCTTGTTTTAAAAACATACAGTATACATACAAATACTGTATACATTAGATGTCAATCGACATTACGTGAATAAGCTAATGATGCAGATCAGTCACCTACAAACATGCCATGGTGACATTCCTCTAACTGGCCACCCTTAAGACACCCTTTCACAGTCAGTAAAGAAAAAGAGCTTAATGACAGGTGCTGAGGGAGTCTGCCTCTCGCTCCAACAGCTGGTAGCAAGGAAGCCCACCGTATTGATACTGTCCATATGGCTGGGAGGGGCAGCTGGGTGAGGGGGGATCAGTTGTGGGGATGGAGGTAGCAGGGAGGAATGCAGGATGGGGGGGATGGAGGTAGTGGGGAGGGTCCAATGTGCAGGATGGGGGTGGGTCTTGGGAAGAGACTGGGGGTGACCAGCTCCTGTGTTAGTCCTAGTCGGAAGCTCGACCACTCACGCCACCGCCTCTGCTACCCATCCACTCTGCCACCCATCCTGCTACTCATCTGCCCACCTTCTATCTTTTGACTGCCCTGCTATCCACCCACTATCTCCTGGCTCTATGCCCACTCTACCCACCCATTCTGTGCCTGCCCTGCCACCCACCACCTTTGTCTACCATCTGCCTCCCACTTTCTGTTGCTGCCGCCTGCGTTCTGCTGCCTGCACGCCAACTATGCCCACTCTGCTAACCATCTCACTACTGCCTGCCTGAACACACACTGACACCTGCCCGACCACTGCTGTCCACCTATCCACTCACTTTGCTGCCCATCCTGCTACACATCCATCCACTCACTACCAGCTGCCCATCCATCCATCCAGCTCCCCCTATCCATCCATCCATCCAGTTCCCCCCCACCATCCATCCATCCAGTTCCCCCTCACCATTCATCCATCCATCAGTTATCCCTACCATCTATCCATCTAGTTCCCCCACCATCCATCCATTCATCCAGTTTCCTCCGCCATCCATCCATCCAGTTCTCCCCACCATCCATCCATGCATTTCCCTCACCATCCATTCAGTCCCCCCCCCCCATCATCCATCCTGTTGGCCTCCCAAATACAATATACCGTGCCACCACGAACCACACGCTCATTCAACCCATATGTGTATCAACAAACTACGTAAGGCGAGGCAAAGCTCGTAACCCAATTAGAATTTTATGAAGAAATTGAGCCCTGTAACCCAAAAAATCTGTAAAGAGGGACGTTCGTATCCCGAAGTTCCACTGTACTGTACTAACATTCTCATCTGGTCCCCATACCTCCCAATTCATCGAGCACTCATAATATACTTCCACCAGCACTGTACTCCTGAGAGATCTAAATGTACTCCTCTCTTCCTGGGTCACAACACAGTCACCTTCCACACCACCAGCCACCTTCCATTACACAAGTCACAATCGTTCAAATTATTAAAAAAAAAACATAAACTAAATATAGAAACTAACCTTGATATGTATGGTCGAATGGCAGTGTCGGCAACAGGCATCATAGGAATAGGATCATTTGTTGAAAGCCAATATGACTTGTCATTTCTAGATGCATAGTTGCATACATTGTTGAAGTCACAGAACATGAATGGCATTGTGCTGAATCTTCTTACACAGGAACCAGCCAAACCTGTTAGAAAATATTTGTAGCTTTAAAAAATATTTGGAAATATACTAAAAAAAACTGGTAGTTATATTATCAATGCTAACTACAAAATTATACTTCTGTTGTTGCAATAAGAATCATAACTAAATTGAAATTATATATATTTACCTAAATCTTGATGATGGGCCTTTTCATTGCCTTCAACATACAATAGAGAATAGCCTTCCCAAAGAACGCTATGACCAAATTCACAGCGTGGGGCAATGGTGGTCTGGGAATGTCGCACAACCAATGTACCGGAATAATACTGTTGTTGAGCTTGACAGCTGCTTCCTGCCTCTCCTTTGCTTCCAGGGAATCCTGGTGGCCCCTTGGAAAAAATATGAACAAAAATAAATGTTAAGCTAAGCTTATAGAGTATAATGTTACACAGAAAATACAGTATTCCAGCTAACATGTGTTAATGAATTGCATTCCTAAAGTAAATATGAAAGCCAGAATTTAGTACACGACAATACTCACAGAAAGTCCTGGTGCTCCTTCGAAACCACGGTCTCCCTTCATTCCTGGAGGTCCAACATTTCCTGGTAATCCATCAAAGCCACGGTCACCCTTGACTCCAGGCATACCAGGCATACCTGGACTACCTTCAGGTCCTTCTGGTCCTCTTAGGCCCTGTGGTCCAGGCAAACCACGTTGACCCTTAAGACCATTGAGGCCAGGACGACCATTTATTCCAGGGAATCCTGGGTCGCCTTTAGGGCCTTGGGGTCCTGGCCTACCAGATACACCTGGCAGGCCATCAAAGCCCTTTGGACCACGGATACCCTTTTCTCCAGGAGGACCAGTCAAACCATTTATGCCTCTCTCACCTTTGGGTCCTGGGGGGCATGGTAATCCTGGAGGACCTTGGAAACCATTGTCTCCTTTTGGACCAGGTGGTCCTATGGGTCCTACCCTGCCTGGGTAACCTTTCTCTCCTGGAGGTCCTGGTAAGCCTTTCTGACCAGGAACTCCAGTTCTGCCATCTAGACCAGGCACTCCAGCAGGACCTGGTGATCCTCGATCACCCTTAGCACCATTAAGACCAGGGAGACCTGGGTCACCAGCTGGCCCACGCTGGCCAGGTAATCCAGCAAATCCAATTTCGCCCTTTTCACCCTTTTCTCCATTTATACCATTACGGCCAGGCTTACCTGGTAAACCAGGCAAGCCCTTTTCACCCTTCATAGTCATGCCTATTTCACCACGAGGACCCTGAGGACCAGGGTTACCCTTTTCTCCTTTAAGTCCTTCTATGCCTGGCAATCCATTTGCACCTGGTAATCCAGCATTTCCTTTGTCACCTTTAGGTCCAGTGCGACCATCCAAACCTGGTCTACCTTCAATTCCTTGAACACCAGGTAGCCCAGGTTCTCCCTTGCTGCCTTTCTGGCCAGCAGCACCTGGTAAGCCTGGAGGTCCTGGAGTGCCCTTGTCACCCGAAGGTCCTGTTAATCCATCCGGACCGGGTGAACCTAAATATGAAAATATTAAGATTATTGTTTGGACATATTTTTTACAGGTTTTTCAGAGATCATTTGTATTGCAAATATTACCTAGTTAGTTAGCATGGTAACGGAAGTCATCCTTAATGAGGGTAAAAAATTTAAGAATACAAAAAATTAATGTGAAGAGATATACTGTACTGGTATAATATACTGTAATACTAAATTACAGTAATGCTAGTATAATGAGAGCTGCCGTGTTTGAAGATAAACGTCCATAATAATGCAGATGGGATGAAGCCTGCCCTCTCTTCCTTGCTTCCAGAGTAACACATATAGTACAGTACTGTACTCTTTTCTATGTATATTAAACAATATTATAGTACATTTAGATAATTACAGTAAAGTATGTTGAGTGTAATACTCTAACTTGTGTATTTGTGGTGAGGAAGTGAAGCGAGTACAGGTACTTTTGTACTGTGCAATAAGTTTTGTTGAGATATGAGTTTAAAATAATATATTACGTTTGATTTGTAAGAATACACTTTGCACGAGGATTTCCAGGAAAACATGATGAACGGGCAGCTGTTTAACTCCTAGGTACTTATTTACTGCTAGGTGAAGGGGCATCTCACAAAAGAAACTCTGCCCATTTGTTACTGCCTTGGCTGAGAATCGAACCCGAGCCCATAGAACTGTGACACCAGAGCGCTGCCTGCTTGGCCGCGAAACTCCATGTATGTTTGCTACTTTGACGGCTCTCTTTATCTGTGTCGATAGCTAACATCTGGGCTTGAGGCTTTTGGCAGTTAACAGAGTGTTACCTTCTTGTTACTTGTTGGGTGTTCCATAGCCTTGCCATGCCACTGTGGGACTTGGGGGGGGGGGGCATTTGGCATGCAATTGATGCTTCTCTAATCCCAGTCCAGGGCACCTGTCATCCTCTTCCATTTCTGTTCCCTTCTTTTCTGTAGGATTTTTGAAGTGTAGTATTGGCAGCTAACGAGTGAAGTGGACACCCGGTTGGGACAACAAGTGATCTGGGCCACTGTCTGGTGGCAGTTGTGCAAATCAAGTATAGGATTGTTTGCCAGGTTAGCTTAAAGGTTTGTCTATTGCCTTAAAGCAGGAAATAGAAATTTGCTAATTTGCTTGTTTTATTTCACCTATTTTCTCTAGTGGATTTTTTCTCTGCTTTGGGTAATCTCTGATCTTCAAGCACCCATTCACATTGCACAATGAACCCAGACTATGATTTTGGCTTCCAATTGGTCAGCATAGTTCTTAAGAGGCCTGGTAAGATTCCAAGGCTTGGCTACACCAGCGCTTGAGCTCAGACAGCTACTGGTGGCCCATCAGAAAAGGATATTTCATTACATTCTATGCTTTATTTTATTGTACATAAAATAAAAAATGAATGGCTGTAACTTGAATTTAAACTATTTTGGCACTCTAGGTTTTTGTGTGTGTGTGTACTTTCGAACTTAGATTGGTGAGAAACTATAGTGTATACACTTGTTGGAGGCCTTATACAGTACTGTACTTGAACGATAACTTAAAACAATAACACACCTGTACGGCCCATCAGTCCCTTTTCACCATCACGACCATCGAGTCCCGGTTCACCCTTCAGGCCTAGAACGCCTTTTAACCCTTGAGGACCTGGGATAGGAACACATCCCTCTCCAACTGGTCCAGTCAGTCCAGGAAATCCCTTGAAAAATATCATTATACAGTACAGTATTTATAATTTCTTTAGATAAATTTTATAATAAACAGACTTTAACTTTTCATGTATGCTCTTCTGTCAAAATTATCAACTACTGTATGTGTATGACCAAATTTTTTACTTAATTCAGGTTAATATACTAACATATAATTTTCTTACTTCTGATTACTCTGCAATATTTTATACTTAAATTGTCTTTCATGTTAATTTGTACACTATTTCAGCTGCAAGCTTGGCAAGATTTTATTCACTATTATACTTATGACCTTTATTATGTACTTCTTTTACTGATTGGCTAATTTAGTCTGTTCTTCCTCTGTACAGTACTGGTGCTTGACCACTTTCTATGCAACCCCACATAATATTACAGAGAAGGATTGCACTAAGAGAAAAGTCTTCTATGCATTTCTCGGTAAGGAACTCAAATGCAGCACTTCAAATGCTCTCCAAAGCTTGAAGTCTCTAACTAAATACCAGTAAATAATTAATGATGCTTCTAACACTTAAATAACCATATTAAAATAACCTGAAATACTGTATAACTTTGAATATGATACTGCAGCTTATTATAGAAGCAATACAATTGTTAAATAATGAAAGTACTACACTGGTATTATTATTTGGAATTATCCTATACTTTTCCAATAAATCCAAAGGAGCACTATGAAAGAAGAGACAAAAGGAGAGATAAAATGGCAGTAATGCCCTTAAACACTTACTCTGTCTCCCTTAGCTCCAGGGAAACCAGGAACACCGCTAGTTCCTGGTGGACCAGGCTGTCCATCCAAGCCATCCAGACCAGGAGGTCCAGGAGGTCCTCGGTCACCTGCGGGACCCGGGAGACCATACGCATCACGTCCCTTTGGACCTGCTATACCCTGTAATCCACGGGGTCCAGGAGGTCCTGGCACACCTGCATCACCCTTCAGGCCTTGACTACCCTTGTCTCCTTTAGCAGCAGAAGTTCCTGGCACACCTTCCGGGCCCTAAATTGATTGGGAAATTTGAAGTCTTTTTATGGATAAAAATTATTCATTGTATTTGAAATGGCTATTTTGTTAAATAATGTATTTCAATGTGTATTGATTTTTTATTCCATTATTTGAATCTAAACTCATGAAGACAAAATTCTATTTCAAACTAGATGCATTAACTTTAAATCACATGAACACGCTAGAAAAGAGCATCAACATACCATTCTTACTCTGAATTATTTTTTCTGTATACGCACCCCTCCGGGGTTCCCTGTACTCCCATTATATCTGACTATGGTCGAAGTCTCTATGATTAGGAATTGAGATAATTCCGTACTTGAAACCTGGGTCTTTTGTCATTTTATGGAAAGTTGCCTGGGTCTTTTGTCAGTTTGTATAGGGGTGCATATCACTGCTACTATTATCTTAGGTCCTCTCAGTGTTATGGTTCCTGTTATACAGTAACTGAATCATTCACAGCCTGGGATTAAAAGTTGCATGAATGTCCAGTCCTTCCTAATCAAGTGGGGCCACTCCCCTTCCCCTTCTCACTCCTTTGTTACAACATGACAGTCTTCAGGGAATATTGCATTATGTCATGACTTTTGACAGTTTCGTTTCATTCATTGAGTCTGGCCACCTGATCAACCAGGCTGTGACTCATACGTCAGGCTGCGAGCAGCCGCGTCCAACAGCCTGGTTGATCAGTCCAGCAACCAGGAGGCCTGGTCGACGACCGGGCCGCGGGGACGCTAAGCCCCGGAAGCACCTCAAGGTAACCTCAAAGTAACCTTGTTATACAGTATTGCCATCTATGTAGGCATACATTGTTTTAATGTATACAGTGGAACCTCGAGTGACGAGCGGCTCCAGTTATGAGCATTTTGAGTAACAAGCAAGCCACTCGCAGAAAATTTGTCTCGATTAATGAGCAAAATACATGGTGCTTCCTAGTGTTCCCGCTGGTTCTTGGATGCCTCCGATGACAGTGTTGTTGTTGTTGTTTTCCAAGACGAGGGTTTCACATGACTAGCTCGGTGCTGAAACAGATTACATTCGTTAATCGAGGCGCCACTGTACTTCTCTCTTTGCATTCTCAATTACAATCTGCCTTTTATTTTGTATATCTGGTGTAGGTGGCTGCTTGTATAGGATGTATATGGTATGGGGTTGCTGGTGTTTGTAGAAGAGATGGGTAGGGAATAATTAGGTTTGAATCAGTGTTACATGGAGGGGGGATTTAGGAATGAGGTTGCAGAATAGGAAGGAACAGGGTAGGGAAATGGTAGGAGCGTGAGGTGTTGGTATGGAGTTAGAGTGAGGGGGTAGGAGAGAGTGGGGAAGGTGATGAGTTGTATTATGCTACTGTTGTTGTTAGCCTTGTGGTCATCAACCTGGAGGGTGCAGCTTATCCACTTCTATTTTGTATCAGTGCTTCTTCCTCTTTGCTGCAGCTGTAATTCTCTCCACATTTGGCATATCAATCTGCAGAAATACTTCTTTGTAACCTTCAATGTATGGAGCTTTGTTCTTCTTCCTTAGGACTGTCTCTTTTGTTGACTCATTTATAAATACATTTACAGTACAGTATTAGTTAATTTATTTCCTTCCTGTATTGACCTAACCTGAAACTAATCAATTTAGTTGTCTTCCCTCCTTCCAAGTGATTGGGCACCATTCCTTTCCCCCATTCTTTCTTAAATTCTTATCCTGGCCTCTTCCAAGCGCTATATAGTCGTAATAGCTTGGTACTTTCTCCTGATAGTTCCCTTTTCTTCCCCCCATTCCATAATTATCTCTGTCAGAGAGCTGATGGGGGAGGGGGAAAGAGAAGGGAGAGAGAGAGTTAATGGCAATCTGCTTTCAAATACAATATTTACCAAATAATCTAATAAATAAAGGTCACTCACCATAGGTCCCCGTTCGCCTTTATCACCTCTCAGACCTTCTCGTCCTGGGATGCCTGGTAGCCCAGGTGAACCTGGAAAACCTATGTTACCCTTCAACCCAGGTGATCCAGTTTGTCCTGGTCTCCCAATGATGCCAGGGCTTCCTGGAAAACCTGCAATGCCCATATCCCCCTTTGGTCCAGGTGCACCAGGAGTGCCATCGGCTCCAGGTCGTCCAAACAAACCTTTAAGAAAGGAGGGTTTCAAATAATAATAATTTTGGCATGGATGGTTGAGGCAGGGAAGGGATGGAAGGATGAGGTAGGTGGGTGGAAGGAGGAGCAGAAGTGGTAGAAGCTTGGAACAAGTTAAATGAGGTGGTGGAAGCCAATACCATCAGTAGTTTCAAAGCGTCATATGATAACGAGTACTGGGAAGCTGGGATACCATGAACATAATTCTCGTCCTGTGACTACACTTAGGTCATTACACATCAACAGGAATTTCCTCCCTGGATTTGTATGATTCACAAGGGTGAGCATTGGCTAATTTAACATAATTTATTCATGGATTCATAGAAAAAGTACATCCTTCATGGTAGACATATTTATGAAGTGCACATTTATTCCTACAAGTAGAAATCTTGTCGATTAGTTGTACTATGCATTTATACTATGTTCACCATTTCTGTATCAATTTAATTTTGAACTGAACAAATAAACTGTTTGATGTACCTCACTATCCATCACAATGAAGTGGTAAATTGCTGCCACTCAAACAAAGCATTAATTGTACAAACATAGGGATAGCAAGGGGTGACTGTGTGGCAGGTATGTATGTGTTATATCTGGCAGTAAGTCTGACCACGTGTGCGGTAAGTCTGACCACGTGTGCGGTAAGTCTGACCACGTGTGCGGTAAGTCTGACCACGTGTGCGGTAAGTCTGACCACGTGTGCGGTAAGTCTGACCACGTGTGCGGTAAGTCTGACCACGTGTGCGGTAAGTCTGACCACTTGTTTATCATATGATAAATGTTAACCAACAAAGAAAATTTAAATAGAGAATTTATATTTATTCAGTAGCAATGATCACAAATTAAAAACTTTTTCAGTACTGTAATATAAGAAATACTATAAAATAAAATCAAACACATATTTAAACAAATGAAAAACTTTTCAGTACTGTAATATAAGAAATACTGAGATAAAATCAAACACATTTCAACTAAAAATGCAAGCAATAAGCAGATTCTGTTGCTGGACAAAAGTTATGTATAGTTTATATAGCAAAATAAGTCTTGCAAGGCAGTGTGAATTTACAAGTTTGAATTGCAATGAAACACACACTGTTATTAATTGAGCTTCACTGCTATACACCTACATGTCTGCTCTATACTGTGCTGCAAAGCCCATAATTACCTGGTTGTCCTGGATTACCAGGTACCCCTTTGATTCCATTTAAGCCAGGAGTACCCCTCTCTCCTTTGGGCCCTGGGAAACCAACAACACCGGCTGGGCCTTGTGGACCTGGTAAGCCAGGAACACCTGCAAATAACACAAAACATGCTGAAGATAATATTTGTTTATACAAGTTATTAAGAATTTTATACTAAAGTTTCTGGTCATTTACCCATTATTAGTTTCAAAAGATTTTCAATTTTTTAATTGAATAATGATTGAAAGTTTCAGAGAGATAAAGGGGGTGGCACTTTGTCCACAAGAGGACTGTGGAATGGATAAATGAGAAAGCACAGCATTCTATCACTGTATTGGATCACCAACACACACACAATGACAGCGAGAAGCTGCAAGAGGAGCATTATGTGACTATTCCCAAGAGTGTGAGCCATGCAATCATTCTTTTGTAGACAAACCAAACTGAGAAGTAAAATATCTTTGGGATCTGTAAAAAGCCCCCAATATTTTGTAAGCACTTTTGAAATTGTTGAGATATGATATTAACATTACAAATAGGCTGCAATTTTGATGGCTATTATATTGAGAGGAAGGTTGAGGTCCAAGAAAAGAATTTCCAAACAAAAGTTGATATTCAGTCGAGTTTCTATTAATATAAAAAGCACATACTGTGTATTACTAGTTTTAAGCAGAATTCCAAATGACTCATAGGGGTGGAATTAAGAGCAGCTAAGAAAGAGAAATGATACTGAAATGTCAGGAAATTCAATGAGGGCTACAGAAAAGGGGTCATGACTGAGGTATTTACCAGAATAAAATTGGATAGCATTAGATATAGCGCAGAATATTACGAATAAATAATAAGAATAGGCATTAAAACAGAACCTTGAGGAACGCAACAGTTCACGAAGAACCTGGCAGAAGGTGAGGTAGCTGTATCAGGAAGGAAACTAGAAATATTTTGACATACTGTGGAACTCCAAAGATTTTAACCATTGTAGTGATCGCCTATAGTCTTAAAAATCTAATGGCACTAATGTTTTAAATATTTTATATTTCCATTTTTTTAATTGTTATGGTAATTTTAGGACTGAATTTACCTGACAGCCACTATCTCTAGTGGCCTTGATGGAGCCAAGAAGCCAACAGCTTAAAGGATTCATTGTAAAGAATTTTAATTGTTCTTAAATTCTGTATAAATGCAGAGGACACTCACTTAACCCTTTAGGTGAGCAATTAACTCTGCCCAGGTACATATATAGGTGTGTGTGTGAAATTTACAATATATATATGTTAAAGACAAATTCATTGGATGAGCTTCTTCGTTCCAAATGAGTTTTACTAACAAAAATATGGGAAATACGGACAAATTCATATGGATGACTGAAGAAAAATAACAAAGATGCAGTCGATGAGTCACAATAACATGGCAAAATATATGATGAACTAACTACATAACAGAAAATGAAGAAACGATGACGTTTTATAATTTTCTTAAAAAAATGAAAATGGTCCATCCTGGACCATTATGAAGTTGTTAGATGTGAACCAGGAGTGGAAGAACACTCTGATCTCAGATTCGACTATGTTATGACAGCCCATAGTTAATGGAGAAATCAACACCTGTAGGTGGAGGACAGGCAAGAGAGGCCTGTGACACTAACTCGAATCAGGTGCCTGGAAGGGTTGAAATGGCTTGTTTTTAGGCCATTGTGGAATGAAAAAGGGGCAGGATTAAGAGTGAAGTCTGTATTTGGCTATTGACTTTTTAGAAAGAGTTGAGACTAATGAAGAGACAGACTGGCAAGAGACTTGTTGAGCTGGCACGACCTCTGAACATGAGTGGTTAGAACTCTGTCATCCATGGTAGTCATCCATAAACTGTGTAGGGCATCCATAGCATTGGATGATATCCAGAGATATGAAGTCAGAGTGTGAGAGTTTTCAGTGTGTTCCCAGTGTAAAAGAAGCACTTGTGAGGGTGTAGGACTCCATGCAGAACCTTAATAATGTTTGAATTGGGCTGTGTAGTTAATGACATTATGCTTATGCTGATGAATTAATCGACAATCGACTTGAGAATGGTCCAGGACGGACCGAAACGTCGTCGTCCCTTCACCTTCTAGTGTGTGGTCTGGTCAACATACTTTAGCCACGTTATTGTGACTCATCGCCTGCTGATGGATTAATTATGTGCTGGATTTATTATATGGCAGATTTATGTTTGCTGGTGAATACTGAGTCTGAGAGCTTGGGTGGATATTGAATATCTGGTATTGCCCAAACTGTGTTTTCACCCTGCAAGTTCTAGCTTGTGACTCTGAACTATTAATTGTCTGGTGTGATCAATCTTCAAAACTATAGGTTGCATCTTGTGCACATTTCCACTACTTCCTCTATTAGTGTCCCCACCATTCTTGTCCCAGTACTTGTACTCACCTAGTTGTGCTTGTGGGGGTTGAGCTTTTGTCTCTTTGGTCCCGCCTCTCAACCGTCAATCAACTGGTGTACAGATTCCTGGACCTACTGGGCTCTATCATACCTACATTGTGGTCCCCCTATCAAGGTCCCAGTGTTCATGTCCCCCAATCCTGGTCCCAATGCTCATGTCCCCAATCCTGGTCCCAGTGTTCATGTCCCCCCATCCTGGTCCCATCCCTTTGAAATAGCTATTGTCCACTATGCTGATGACCCATTAATAGCTTGTATGCTGTGATCATTTTGCTTCCAAGTCTTCTTTGCTGATATGAACATTTGGGTGGTGGTGTTGACTGAGGGGTAATTACGACCCATGGATCGTATGTATCCACATAATTCGGCTTTGTCGTATGCCATGCAGAATATTTTTCTCAGCAATCATCATGATATAATATTGTATATGGAAAATTCCTTATATCTAACTTGCATTTAGATAAAAAAATATAAACTCATACAAACCCTTTTGTCCATCAAGCCCTGGTAACCCTCGGATTCCAGGAAGTCCAATGCGTCCAGGAAGGCCAAGGTCTCCCTTGTCACCCTTTAAACCATCTAGTCCGTGTTGCCCAGGTAGACCTTGTTCGCCTTTAATGCCAGGCACTCCGGGAGGACCTTAGAGAACACAGTAAATGTACTTACAACTACATGATATCGTCTTAGTGCTAAATTCTATGTACCATGTCTCCGGTTTCAAACTCCAAGTTTAGGAATATTTTAATTTTAAAATCAGAATTAATGCAGATTCCAGGTTCGGATATAAGTATTTTGTCATTTATGAATGAATTATTGAGAGTTTTACAGCTGGCAAAATATACTCGAGTGATATTCAATCAATGTTGATAAAATGTAAAGGTAATTACAAGGAGAAGGTGCTAAGCCAATATGACTATGTTAATTCACCATTACATCAACACCATTTGCCCAGGCACTGCTATACCAAATGATAGAATGCTTCTTTGCATATACTTAGCCAAACAAATAATATATAGGCAATAACTTTGTAAATAGTAAAAATGATAACTACAAATAAGGTAAAAGTTTTGTTTGTTACTGTACTTATCTTACTGAATGAAGATTATCCTAATTGTGGCTACCAACATTATCAGTACAGTATTTGTAAACATTGTGATGAAACTTACTGAAACTTGCCATTTTTCTCTCAATTTTTGCTACCAGAATTCTCTTTTCAAATGGTATGGTAAGTTGTCTTAATGGATAACTAACACACAAATTACAGAAGTCACCGTATCACTCTTTTTTCATCCCTTAATGATAGAATTTCTATATACGGTATACAGTACTGTACTTCTTTTAAACTCTTCATACTATGCTCAATGCATATACCGTACATGCTTTTTTAACCCTTGTGCGAGAATATTTGCATATATACCTTAATTTAAAAAAAATTAGTACTGTACTGCACTAGATACTTACTTGCCGTAAGTATCGCAAGTATGTACCGGTAGTATGCCGGTACTACATATATACTGTATATATATATACTATATATATTATGAGGTATTTATATAGTACCACATACTACATAACTCACTAACATAGCATAATTTTAGCAATAGAGTAATGAACACTAGAATAATACTTCCATACATCAAAGGGAAACAGATATTCACATGAAACTACATCACCATTACCTTGAGCACCCGGTAAGCCTGTTTTCCCCGGCAATCCATGTAAACCAGATTCACCCTTTGCTCCGGGAATGCCTGGTTGCCCAGGCCTTCCAACACCTGGTCGACCATCTGCACCCTTGTCACCTGTAAATCAAATTTTTGTTTAATAATACCTCTGAAGTCTATGAGTATTAAAAATGTCTACTATATAAATATTAATAGAGAACATACAGTAGTATGCATAAATAATTTATCAGCAAATACACCAAATTTTGTCACTAATAATCAGTAATATAAAATTACGACACAAATACAAATTTTAATGGCATTACTTGGCCAGGATGCCTACTACATGCATTCTTTCCTCTAGACAAATTAGCCCTAAGCAGTCAACTGCACCACCACCGATTTGAATCAGACTAGTCTACTGAATGGTGGCTAGTAGGTGACCGGACAATTTACATATATCTCAATTTTTCTGGGGTTTCACCTAAAGCCAAACTGCAGGAGTTTCTGAGTGACTGTTCTAGCCATGATGTTGTAGTCAGCCACATGTGTTGACATAATAACAGGTGACTCGGATGTGTATCATTCAACCTTTGGCTGGCTGGCTGGCCGGCTTTGGTAGTAGAGACGACAGGCATTCATGCCTGATTTTGCATTTTTCAATGTAAGGGTTCACAGTACAGAATCATGATGTATTTTAGGACAGAATATAAATTTTTTCATGGGTTGGAGGGTATACTCTAGTTATCCAGAAAACGATGTTTCTGACCGATTTCAGTCCATTCCACTTCAGAAAGTGGAACTGACTCTGTACATTTAAGTCTTAAAAACTTGCTAGCACAGTACCAGAATTGTACTATATACCTATACGAATATACCGTTAACTTTTTCTGTATAATCTAAGTTTTTGTTAACACAATTCAGAATAAAACACAATACTGTATACACTATATTCTGGAGAAAAAATCTCAAGGCATTATCAAGGTTGGATCAGGAATGAAATTGAAAGCCATGAACCTTCAAGGGTTTTTCTGGCAGATATTTATCATATGAGTGGGTGAAATTAAGATGTCACTCAGTAGATGCAGCCATATTTATAACACTTTCGCGTTCTGATGACGGTCTCAACATCATAAAACCAAAAATACGCAGAGGCCCTGATAATGATAATGCCATCATGAATTAATAATGATGAAAAGAAAATGATGAAAATAATGAGGAAAAGAAATGTATTTTTAACAAATATTTTAATTTTGGACGCAACATGTGTCCCCGTTCAAGATCTGTAGATTTATTAACGGATGCATTATGCTTCTCCGCTCCAGGCAAAGTGTTAATAATGTTCTACTCGTATTTATATTTTTGTCGATGGGCACAAAATTAAAAGAAAATGTTGGGAAGTGGGAAAGCCATTTAAGGCATTTAACCCTCACACTATCAGGCACATAATACGATACATTCAGTACAAGTTAAATTGTTACTGAACTCATCAAGAGTAACTTTCAGCAACAGTGTTTGAATACTGACATGCACCAAATCCATCTGATGGTAATCCATAAGTGTCAATGGATGACCCAGCACCCAGGAAGACATTAGCTCACAGCCTCAGTATCATTACAGCCAGGATGGAAGGTGCACGTTTATAGACTCCCATTCTAGGCAGAATGTCCATGAATAGCACAAACATAGGACGACAACACACAGGATGAATTATGATGTTTTTAATTTTTCTTTACCTGTGTATACATATCTATCACTTCATATGATTATTTAAATTTTTTAATAAATTTTATTCATTATTATGAATAAAGAGACTCTCTGTTTGACTGTGTTCGCCTAGTGACATCTGCACTAGACATTTATATGAATAGACTGATGATTAGGCTGCAGTTTTTATCACTCTGTTGGGACAAGACTGAGGTAAACAGTCCAAAAAAAAGCACTGAATGTAATGAAATGCCAATTTCTGGGTGAGCCCAGGTGGCTCCCTGAAGATATATACTGAGACGGTACATATCTACCAGGTAGTATCAGCTGTGGAGTTCCTTAGGCTTACTGGGGACTAGGGCCAGAACCTGGCTCTTCACAGAGGTGCAGGGAATGGTGACATTTTGACACCTAATTGGAGAAGGCATCCAAAATGTCAGCAAGTCAAAACAAACCACTGATTGGTTTAAAAAAAAATAAGAGACCGAAGCCTCAAAACCCTCCTAATGAACTCCCGGAAGCTATGTAAACAAATAATCGAATCGCTTGAAAATAATGTGAGCTCATTTGCCCAACCTCCCCAACTTGTTTGGGGAAGGGGAGCTTACCACCTTCCAGGTTCTGAGCAGTCAGCTCTGGAGCAGATAGATGCACATAGCCACCCAACAATCTGAAAGGGAAGGGAAAGCTCTCCCTCCATGGTGGTGTAGCTCGACCACCTGGAGAAGGTCGAGCTACACCCCGACCCAACTCTGAAACTCTCAATAGGCTTTGGAGCCGGAAGCAGGGAAGGGGGGGAAACAGCAGAAATGTGAACCACTCTCTCAAGAGAAGAAAGAGAAGCTGCAGACAAAGCTCAGGTGGAGATCACCAACACCTCCAATTCCAGGTCCCTAAACATCACAGGGCCCAACTCTGGGGCTTCCAGCCAATCAATATGCCGCAAACACTTAGGACAGGAACACCAAGCTTGTAAAGTGGTAACTGCCTGAAAAGCCTTCGAAGGCAGACTCTGTTAAAGCAGAGACCCAGTGAGTACAAACCTCACTGAATTCCAGGTCATCAACATCACCAACACAACAGGCAGCATAGCAGTGGCAGAAAGAATGAACATCGCCGTGTAACAATGATGATGAACATCCCCCAAACTAATAAATAAAGAGACTCGGCTCAACAGTCCATTCCATAAAGACCACAACAAAGACCTGGAGGCATGTATTCCCAGGGGCCCCAAAGGAAAACAAATCAGGTACCCATGGCACTGGGGGGTGCTCGCCAGGAATAGATACCAATTGAAGCCTAACCACCAGGCAATGGAAAGTGATCGCGGTGTGCAGCGTAAACAAGCATGTGAACCAGAGTGCACCCCAACACAAACATTAAATGCCCCCCACTAAAAGCCCAAACAGAGGAAACCAAGACCCCTGAGGAGCCAGAGGTGAGGCCCCGATCCTGGTGAGCTGGTTTCACAGGGGCGAACACCCAAACACAGCAGAGAAGGGAAGCTCTGGCAGTGCAAGGGCAACATCAGTGGGCAAACAGATAAGAAAACCTCGAGTACATGCAGCGTGAACGACTAAAGACCCAAGCTTCCACAACAAGCTGGAATAAAAATACGCAACGTGAAGCTAACATTTAAAACTGGAAACGAAACAAAAGTTCAAGGATACGCAACACTTAGCTTGAAGCTTTTGGGCTCCCCCACAGTTGGCATAACTGGAAACAATATATGTTTCTATGGTATCCCCACATCAAGATCAGAACTGATTGGGGAGCCAGCTGATGGCTGGGGCTGGGCCGGCTACTGGTGGCTATTGGAACCAATGAGTTTGAAATCATCTGAGTGAATCCCTTGTTCTGTGTGAATAGCTTGCAGAGATAGTTTGGCAGGTTTAATGCTTGTTTTCTGTGTCCTCTCCAGTTGTCTGTAAAGCTGCGCTGACTTTCTGGAGGCATTTTCTGGTAGGGGTGACAAATTGTTGCCTGCATCTTAAGCCTCTGTGAGAAAGACAGGTTCTGGGTCTGGTCCCCAGTAGGCCAAAAAGAACTTCCATAGGTGATGTGACCTTCAAGTATGAAATAATCTCAGGAAGACAGCCTTAGGAAGCCAAAAGGGGCTTTCCAGGAAAGATGAAAACAGTTCCAATAATGTCATCTGTAAATTGAATGAAAAATACAAATGATCAATTAATATACCTTTAGGTCCTGCATAACCTGGGATACCAGGCTGTCCTGGTTGACCGTTATCACCAGTTAGACCCTGTGGACCTCTGTCTCCTTTTTCACCCCTTGGGCCTGGCAAACCACGTGGCCCAGGTTGTCCTGGGTAGCCCTGTGGTCCAGGTGGTCCTGTTAAGCCCTGGAGGAATGACATGAAATCTGCATTAGCAAACAGTACTGTACAGTATTATGATTAAATTGCAGCAATGCTCCAACTATCATTAACATGAAAAATTTCATTCTTACTTAAGTGATTAATTTGAGAACTGTTATCAAGTGTTCTTTTCTGTGGAGAGCCCCTCTGGCTTCCCGGAGGTATACCAGGCTGATATGCATATATTAGACCATGGCATCAGTCAATTCACATGGAGTTCTAGCCTACCGGGGACCAGGAGCCAGAGCCTAGCACCCTCAGAGAGGCACAAAGAGCAATGGCCTATAGAAACCCCTATGTGGTTGGAAACATTCTATGTCTGCCGGGTTAGGCACCCAGAAAGATAGGCGTCCCAAAATAGACTCCACCTGGTTAAAATTACTACCAAAAACCAAACTATCAAGTACAACTCCACAATCTGAAAACAAGTAAACAAACATTATGTCACAACTGCCAATGTGCTGCTATCTGCGCAGCTCCCTGGGAGGGGCAAGGGGGCGCCCCAGACCTCACGTGCTGGATACCCAATGCCAGTCCTGAGGCTGAAGTGATTGCTCTGCGCATCGTTTGGTTTCGTGTAAGAGGCGTCGGCCCTTTCACAGTTCGCCCCATTGATGGTGCAATGGGGAGGCGGCTCGCTGGTTGCTCATGCCTGGTCCCACGATCTGTCAACTTTTCCGGTCGTTTCATCTGGCCTGCAGTGGTGCTGGGTGGCTCCATCTTCGAGGGGTTTGGGATTCGTGAGGGCTTCTTTCCCTGTGTTCTGTCGGGACATTTTAAAGTGGGTGCACTTGGGCGTGGTCAAAACGACCCCATCCCTCAGGTGAGCTTCCCGTCTGTTTCCAGTTCCGAAACAGGACTGTGAGGATCTGAGGTTCACTCTGGACTTGTCTCGTCTGAACTCCTGAGTGTTTTGCTCTTCCTTTCGGATGACCACTCTGTCCCAGGTCAGGCTTCTTTTGGAGCCGGATACTTGGTTAGTGTCTCTGGACCTCTGGAATGTGTATTGGCACGTCCCGATTCATCCAGTCCTGGTTCAGGGACTGGCTCGGTTGTTGTTGGGCGTCAGGCTTACCGCTTTCGCATGTTCACATGCCTTACCTGGGTTGTGGTGATCCGCTTGTGTCTGCTAGGTATTCAGGTTCTGGCCTACCTCGATGACTTGCTAGCGTGGGCTCCTAGTCAGTCCACGTATCTGCTCGCCAGGGGTTTGGATCTTTCCCAGCTTGCTGGGTTCGGGTTCTTGGTGAACTGGAGGAAGTCCCATCTGGTTTCCTCTCAGGTTCGGACCTCGCTGGGTCTTGTGTGGGAATCTCGGACTGCTTCCTTGTCTCTCCCTCCGACATCGTTGTTGCAGTTGCGATCCCGCCTTCGGCTGTTTCTAGGGGCTCCCAAGTCACTCATTTGTTGCTCAAGCAGCTGTGTGGGAGTCTGAACTTTGCTGTGCTGGTTTACCCGCCAGGTCGGGTCTGGCTTTGGTGGCTGTTTTGGTTCCTTCGGGGATGTCCCTTCCGCTGCTCTCGCGATTGACAGAGCAGAACCCTGCTCTGACCAGTGGGTTCGGCCTCCTGGGGCCATGTGTCAGCTGCTGTGTCACCGGCTTCCTCTTGTTTTTTTTGGGCGGGTTCAGTGCCGTTGTACCTCCCCGAGCCCTTGCTCGATGTGTTCACAGATGCGCTGTCTTTTGGCTGGGGTTTTGTGACCAGTGTTCACCAGGCCAGCCATGGGCGGTGGGGTCCGTCCTTCTGTCGGGCTCACAGCACAGTGAGGGTGTTTGCAGCAGTGTGGATGTCGCTTTGAACAGTTTGTTTCACTCGCGAATCAATGGTCCAGCTCCTTTGGGACTGCACCCCGGTGGTTCATTGCCTGAACTGAGGGGGTTTAATGCAGTCCTTGACTCTCTGAGATTGATCACTTCGGGTGACTCGTCTGCTGAGTTCTTGGGGTTTGGCTCTCCTGGCAGTTCACATCCAGGGGGTATCCAACTTCCTGGCAGCCAGCCTGTCCCGGTTCAGTCCCCTGTCCATGGAATGGACAGTTGATGCCGACTCGTTCAGTTGGCTCTGTCAGACGTATGGATGCCTGGAGGTGGACCTTTTCACGTCAGCGTGGTTGAGGCATTTCCCAGTATATGTGGTGTCCTTCCCTGACTGCAAGGCCGTCGGGGTCAAAGCTTTTTGACAGAACTGGTCGAGGTGGGGTTGCCTGTACCTCTTCCCGCCAGTTTGGGTGTCGCTTCGGATTCTGGCTCGTTTGGAGACTTACTAGGGGTGAGTAGTCCTGTTGGCCCATTAGTGGCTGGCCCAGCCTTGGTTTTTGGTGCCGCTTGCTCGGAGCCCAAACCCAGGGACTTTTCTGCAGCTTTGCCTCTTTCAGCAGATCAGTCAAGTCTGGTACATGGCTGATTCGATCTTCTCCTCCGATCTTCGAGTTTGGTCTTTCTGATGCAGGTTTGTCACCACCTGTATGGTGATCATGTGGCTTCGTTGATGGAGTCCCACCTACGTGTTTTGTCTCGGCGATAGTATGAAGTCTCCTGGCGGTCCTTTCATTACTTTTTGTCTCTTCGTAGGTTATCTTTGATTTCGGATCAGGTTGTCTTGTCCTTTCTCTCTCTCTCTTGGTTGTTTTAGGACCATCATCTTATGCCTAATACTGTTGCCTTGTATTATACAGTGCTGGTGGGGCTGTTCCTGCTTGCATTTGGGGTAGATGTTACTTCTACTCCATTTTGCAAGCTGTCTCGTGCGTCGTTTCACCTCCGGCCTGCTCATGCTTCACCTGAGCCGTCCTGGTCGTCAGGTGCTCTCTTTTCTATCCTCTCCTCGGTTTGTGATGGCCCCCTCGGTGACGGTGGCTTTCCAGAGGGGTCCTTGGGTGGTCGCTGCTTGGTTGGTTCGGCCGGAGGTTCATCATGTGTTGTGTCCAGTTGCAGCGCTTCGCCGTTATTTGCGCACCACAGCCTCCATGACTGGGGATGCGCTTTGGGTTGACCCGGTTTCCCTTCTTCCCTATTCCAGGTCTTGGGTCTCCCAGGTCGTCCGTAGGGTTATTTCAGTCCAACCAGCCTGCGGTCTATCTTCGTGCCCACGATGTTCGCAAATTTGCTGCTTTGCTGCCGTTTTTGGTAATGTGTCTTGGGCTAACATTCAGGCATGAGAATTTTGGAGGTCGAACAGGGCAAGCCACTCGTTACCTCGTTAATGTTCCTGGCCCTAATTGGGTGTGTGTGTCGCTTTGGGTCAAGGCTGCTGCCAGTTCTCTTAACTTTGAGATGAGATGCAAGTGGCGGCCTCCTCCAAAGGTAAGTCCTTCTTTACTTTTTCTGTGGTTAGGTAGCTCCTAGGAGCTGGAGGGGCTCTCCACAGAAAACCAGCATTGAATGTAATGAAAAGTCATTTTCTGGGTAAGACTCGGAGGCTTTCCGGGAACCTTGCACGAGGGATCTGGGGGTTCCCTTACCCCCTCCTGGAGAGGGAGAAGCTGCACAGACAGCGGCATGGGGTGGTTGTGACGTCTTGCTTGTTTGCTTGTTTTCAGATTGTGGAGTTCTGGTTGACAGTTCGGTTTTTGGTAGCAATTTTAACCAGGTGGATTCTGTTTTGGGGCGCTTACCTTTCCGAGTACCTGACCTGGTCGATGGCAGACATAAAATGCTTCCAACCACATGAGGGTTTCTATAGATCATTGCTCCTCGTGACTCTCTGAGGGGGATCATGTTCTGGCTCTTGGTCCCTGGTAGGCCCAGAAGTTCAATCGAATTGACTGATGCCACTGTCGAATATAAGTATATGCATATCAGCCTGGTATAGCTCTGGGGTCTCTGGGACTGACCCAGAAAATGACGTTTCATTACATTCAATGCTGTTTTTTCCATACAATACTAATTAGACATGCTTTGTTCACACAAAGGAGAATGATAATAAGTCCAATGATTATCACAGCAGTTAGATAAAATGATCACAGATCAGTGTAATGATCACAGATCAGTGTAATGATCACAGATCAGTGTAATGATCACAGATCAGTGTAATGATCACCGATCAGTGTAATGATCACAGATCAGTGTAATGATCACAGATCAGTGTAATGATCACAGATCAGTGTAATGATCACAGATCAGTGTAATGATCATAGATCAATATAATGATCACAGATCAATGTAATTATTACAGATCAATGTAATGATCACAGATCAGTGTAATGATCACAGATCAATATAATGATCACAGATCAATGTAATTATTACAGATCAATGTAATGATCACAGATCAGTGTAATGATCACAGATCAGCATAATGATCACAGATCAGCGTAATGATCACAGATCTGTGTAATGATCACAGATCAGTGTAATGATCACAGATCTGTGTAATGATCACAGGCTGGTGTAAAGAACACAGACATGAGTGTTGTCACTATAGCACGAGTGACCAGAGTCGGAACACGGCTTGCAGTAAGCATGGGAAGGAAAGTCTCAAGAAACCTGGTGGGATCTTCTTGAGGTTATCTTGAGATGATTTCGGGGCTTTAGTGTCCCCGCGGCCCAGTCCTCGACCAGGCCTCCACCCCCAGGAAGCAACCCGTGACAGCTGACTAACACCCAGGTACCTATTTTACTGCTAGGTAACAGGAACATAGGGTGAAAGAAACTCTACCCATTGTTTCTCGCCGGCGCCCGGGATCGAACCCGGGACCACAGGATCAGAAGTCCAGCGTGCTGTTCGCTCGGCCGACCGGCTCCCATCAGGGAGCCGGTCGAACCGATGGGAGTTCCTGACGGGAGCCGGTCGAACCTGACGGGAGCCGGTCGAACCCATCCCTGACCGGGATGGGTTCAATTCTGGCAGTATCTGCACTTAAGCTCTGGCAGCTACTGAAGGAAGCTCTTGCAGAAAGTGTGGCAGTTATGACTCGTTATCTGGAATTACCTGTGACAAAGTATGTATCCCTAATCTAACAATAAATGGTATGTTGGCCACAGTGAATAACCCCTTTTTAAGCATGATTCTTGGATGCTCCCAGAGCTAACGCTGGACTCTTCTTACCCACCAAGCTCTCATACTTTTTATCCCCATCATGATGGAACATTCGAATATGCAGCAATTATCCATAACTTAACCACATCAGTAAACTAAAAAGTGAGGGCAAAGATATGATAATGGCTTCTGACACTATAAAATATGTGCTTTAAGAATAGGTTAGAGGCACTAAATATGCAAAACCTGGAAGAGAGAGAAGGAAACTAGCTTTGAATGTAATGAAACACCAAATTCTGGATGAGTCCCGGTGGTTCCCTGACGATACTATCACTGAGAGTGTACCTTCTACTGGGCTGCATCAGTCGCAGAGTTCTATATGGCCTACAGGGAATCAAGAGCCAGAACCTGCACACTCTCATAGAGATGCAGTGAGCATTAGTATTTATTGATTTATTTATGCTACCACCAGGAAAAGCAACAAGAAAGACAGCAAAACAAAACAAACCAAAGCAGGCTGTAGAAGAGACTAAAGCCTCAGGAACTGCAAAAAGAACTTCAACAATGTGAACAGACAACAGAAAAGTTTCAAAACTAGCACCAACTGGAACTGCAAAAAGAACTCCAACAATGTGAACAGACAATAGAAAAGTTTCAAAACTAGCACCAACTGGAACTGCAAAAAGAACTTCAACAATGTGAACAGACAACAGAAAAGTTTCAAAACTAGCACCAACTGGAACTGCAAAAAGAACTCCAACAATGTGAACAGACAATAGAAAAGTTTCAAAACTAGTACCAACTGAAACTGCAAAAAGAACTCCAACAATGTGAACAGACAATAGGAAAGTTTCAAAACTAGCACCAACTCATTTGCCCACATCCACCTTTCCTCTGGGGGGACGGGGAAGGTAGCTCGCAGTCAACCAGTGACAGTGCCCTCGAGTCTATTAAAGATGTGAGAACTCCCCCCCCCCCCTTCCCCTGATGACCTGAAGGTAGGGAAGTATGTCAGGGAGCCACTGGGGATCATCCAAAAATTGGTGTTTCATTACATTCAACACTGGTGACAAAGAGTGCTGGGAACTCTTTGAGTGTAACTCTCATACTGTGACTACACCCAGGTAATTTCTGGTGAATGTATTCATCAGTTTTGAATTTAGTGGCCTTCAGGTAAATGCACCTGAGGGCCACTAATGAAATAGTGGCCCTCATGTAAATTCAAGCATTTGGAAGTTGTGATTCCTTCCTTTGTACTATAGCAAACCGCAAACCGGTCCACTTTGAGGTGAGGGGATTTAGACTCTCCATTGTCTCCCTTTCCTAAATACATGAGAGGACCACTTGCAAATATCTGTCACAATGGGGATAAGTCATGAGAGCCTGGATTAAGCATATTGGAAATATCTATGGGAATAAAGAATAGAGAATTGCCACAGTGATATGACCTATCTTCATTAGCAATACTGTATAAACTTTGGTTTATCTCACCAGAAGACCCTCATCTCCTTTATCGCCAGGTGGCCCTTCAGGTCCCACTTCACCCTTATAACCTTGAGGACCTTTTCCGTCTTTGCAAAGCTGATCTGCCGTGGCGGATTCACCATCTGTACCAGGTTTTCCACGTTCACCTTTTGTACCATTTCGTCCAGGCTCGCCAACTTCACCCTTTATACAAACTCCTGTCTCTCCTTTCGGACCCGGTGTGCCGTCTATTCCATCCAGGCCTGTGTGATTAAAGGTTATACATTAAATGAACAGTACTAGTTGTAATTCATAAAATTGTGTCTAATAGTATAGTATATCCAATATATCAACCCTTACTGTTTTGTACAATGCATCGTTCATAATTTGTAGGTTCCTTCCAGCTTTAACAAATACATCAACCTCTTCTCACACTTGTCAAAGTACATATGCTTTCATTTCAAACATAATTTTAATTTACTTATATACAAGAAAAATAAGATGCAGCCACTCATCAACTTCAGCTAAATATGCACACAGAATTTTTTTATATGGTAATTTGTCCCACTTGGGAGGATTAAGACAACCTCTGAGAACACTCAAACATAATTCTCTATCAATATTTTTGCAAAATATATTTACAATTTTTTTAAAGTCTGCAAAATATTGTTTAATTAATTAAATTTCAAGTTATGATTACATTTGATTAAATATAATTATTATATTAATTTGATATAAATGATGGCTTTCCTTATGACGTGTTATAATTAGAGTATAAAGTGAAATCTCTCTCCAATGGTTTACCTAGGAATGGGCCAAATCAGTTCAGTAGACTTTTCCAGTGTTTTAAATTATGTTTAGATATTTCCTAGTCTTAGGTAAATAATACAAAACAATGTATTCCTGAGATATCCCACTTGGTTGTCCCATAAGGTAAAATTTTGCTGTCAATTGATGAGCAAATCTTTCCATTAGGCAAGATGACATAAGGTACCAATACCACAGGAAGCCTCTGAAGCACCCCAGTCATTCTGGTAAAGTATGAAGCACTGAGGAATTCCTCCAGCTAAAGGGATCCATAGACAGCTCATATCATATCAAGTCCACTTTGGTAACCCTGAAATTGCCAGGAAGTGGCTTACCAAACTACAGGATGGCTCATCTGCTGTCAGTTGTATAAGATGGTAGGTAGATGACCAGATTTAAGCTAAGTGACTTGTTCATTATTGAAATAGTTTCTTAGAGTAGTAAATCCATACTTGCCTATCTTCTATCTCTGTGTGTTTAAAGTTTTTTCTGTATTTTCTTTGTGTTTTGAGAGCTTCTTTACATTTAGCAGTAATCAGAAGTGAGTGTATCATTATTTCATGGTTCTCTGCTGCCTTAGCCTGGAGCATAAATTACAGGTTCTGTGTATCTTTATACATATTCCTCAGAGTCATGTGTGACTTAGGTATCATACCTGGACACATCTTCAGGGCTTCTCTTGCATTTCATTGCTGCAGGTATAGCAATATGAGGTATGGAAGTGATGAAAGTTGGCATTCTCAATTATATTTTTTTTATGGGAACATTCTCTGACACTTCAGTGTAGGGATTAATTTGATAAATTTATTGGAATTTACCTGAGGGCCTATTAGTGACCTTGATGAGGACAGGAAGCCAGTGGCTTGTCAAAAGTACCACACCAATTCTCCTGATGATTTTATCCCGCTGTATCTTGAATTGAAGCAATGTTCCTCAAGTAGTGTAAACATCCTTTGCCATGTTTGTCAGACACATAACTAAACAATTTTAAACTATCCAATGTAGAGAGATATCTGTTGGAGTGGCTCTGTTTGAGGGCGACTCCATTGTACACCTCTGAATATTTGGTGTTGTATTTACATAGTAAATTCCGTTATAGCAATAACCAATGGATTTTGACTTCTGGTGGATACTAGATTAGCCTAAGCAACTACTGCCATGCCATGTGGTATGCATGTTTGCAAATGAGATTATATACTGGGACAATCTGTCATGATTGCTCAACCTGAGTAGTTGACAGTTATCAACAGTTGATAGTTGTCAACTGTCTGATCTTGAGGGCAAATTTACAGGAGTTAACATGTTAATTATTGCAGAATTAAATTTATCAACCCACCATTAAACCTAGGAGCTCGAGTCAAAGAGAAACACTTAGCACAGTAGCTGTGGAAAGTTCTATGATGTACCGAGCCAAAAATAAGACTGTAAATAATGGCATTACTTAGAATAAGAATATACTGTACTATATTCGGCAGAAAATTATAAGAAATAATGCAAATACATGGTATAGTATATCATTTATAAAAGAAGAAAAGAAAGTTAATTGAATTTAAAAAATAGTAATTGTCAAAGCCCTAAATTAAAACCATTTTGAGTCCTATTTTGTATGAAGGCAATTAGTTCTTTCTTACCTCTTAGTCCTGGTTCTCCCTTGAAACCTGGTAGACCCTGTAAGCCAGGTCTCCCTGGGAAACCAGGCTCTCCTTTCAATCCAGGAATACCTGGAAGACCTAGTCGGCCTGGTTCACCCTTTGTACCTGGAGGGCCTGGCAGGGCGTATGCTGCTTCACCCTTATCACCTTTTCCTCCTGGTAACCCTGGTGTGCCTGGAAGGCCCTATACCAAAAAAACAGAAATACTCAATGATTTAGAATAAATAATATATATATATATATATATATATATATATATATATATATATATATATATATATATATATATATATATATATATATATATATATATATATATATATATATATATATATATATATATATATATTTTTTTTTTTATTTTTTGCACTTTTGCCTAGGTGAACATCATCACCTTTTATTTTTGCACTTTTGCCTAGGTGAACATCTTCACTTATACCGTACATGATTGTCACCTGGGCTCTGCCAAGGTAAACATCATCTACACTGAACATTTTCCCTATACACATAATCTTCCCTGTGCAAATTCTACTACATAAACAATTCCAAGCTATTTTATCATAAAGAAATAAATTAAAACAATTTATAATTAGTGCAAAAGCATACACAGTGTAATATTGGCAAAATTGAATGGAAATAATGATATATTTTATGGTACTGCATGTCTAGCTGTTGTAGAACAGTAAATACAGCACTGTACACATTTAACAAAATGATATTCATGTATAGTTGTATTATAATAGAGCTGCTGGTTTCAGGCTTATGAATATTGGCTTACCCAGTGTACAGCAGTTATATTCAGATATTTAACTCGTGATATTCCTTGACTTCTGAAACAAATATGAATTAACAGGTACCATCATCACTGACCTCCTTGCCAGGCAGACCTGGAACTCCTGACTGTCCATCCTGGCCCCTCTCTCCTGGGTACCCAATTGGCCCTGGCGGTCCTCGAGGCCCTTGAATCCCAGGTAATCCTTCAGGCCCAGGATGGCCTTTCTCGCCTTTCTCACACTGACCACATTCACAGTCCAGCCCTCTGTCGCCCTTTGCCCCGTCACGGCCTGCAAGATTTGTGCTTGTAATCTTAAGCATGAGAAAATCCCCCCAGCATCTGTGTATACCTTAGTGTATATACCAGTGTGGGTATGTGGGTATAATGTCTCGTGTATAATTACCTAAGTGTAGTTATAGGATGGGAGCTAGACTCGAGGTTTACCTTTTTCTTCCCTCTAAACTGTCATAACAAGTTTTGTAGCTTTCAATGATTTTGGTATACACCACCCTATCATATAACTTATTATCCCACCCATCTACTGATGTGCCATTTCAAAAAGATAATTACAGTTATTACGAAGTTTGAGCACCTTTGTTTTTATCATTTTAATTTATGACCTCGTGTTCTCAATGTTGCATTGTCATCAATGTCACATTGTCATCAATGTCGCATCGTCATCAACTTGCATTGTCATCACTGTTGCATTGTCTTCACTGTTGAGTTGCCATCAAAGTTGCATTGTTATAAATGTTGCATTGTCATCAATCTTCTCAGTTCCTGTCATCATTTTATATGTAGTGATCATATTTTTTTTTTTTTTCTGTCTACAAATTTTAGCGTATTTATTCCTCTGATGTCTCCTAACACAATAATAAAGGTTGGTTATGTACTCTAATCATCAAAGCAACAGAAGTAGACCTATAACAATATAGACAACAAATATAATAAAATGAGGCAAAAGAATATAGTGAAAGATTTCCAAATATAGTGAAAGATTTCCAAATATAGTGAAAGATTTCAAAATAGTGAAAGAATTAATACAATACTGTAAAATTGATAAATTTAAAGCAGCTTTGTAAAGGGATTTACTAAAAAATTATTCAAAACACAGAACAGTAGAGACAAGTACAGGGTATACAGTATACAATATATTTAACACTGTGCAAAACAATTTGTGTCCCAGGATAGTATGTGTCATTTTCTAAATGCTTGTGTCTCCCAAAGTAGAGAAACGGTTATTATTATTCCCTTCATAGACCCCCTATGTAGCCGAAATGGCTTAGTGCTTTCTTCTGATAATTATCTTAATCTTTTTCCCTGGATGAGGAGTTAATATCTTTCAAGTAACCTTCAAGATGTCTTCCCTAAGCTGTCAAAAGAAAAAATCAAAGCAAAGTTTGGGAGAAATAATACTCATTTCTCTACTCTGAAGGCATAAGTAATTTGAAAATAGCACTTACTACACAGGTACAAACACAAAAATATTTTTAAATAGTTGTACACTGCAATTGCTGGCAGGTACTCAAACAAACAAAAATATTAACAACTCAGTAGTATTAATTGTCAGTGTGGTAATTTCATCTATAAAATAAGGTCTGCAGCTAAAAAAATCCCAGATCTTCCGAACACCGTGCCTGTAATCTTCACTTACCAGAAATACCATCTAGGCCAGGATTACCCGGTATACCAGGTGGGCCAACAAGTCCTGGCTCTCCGGGAGTTCCAGGGATACCATTTATACTGTCACCAGGAATACCCCGAGGACCTTCGGGACCCACTGGGCCACGGGAACCTGGAATCCCATCTCGTCCAGGTGTTCCATCACGTCCGTTTTCTCCCTGAGGATGAGGGTGGGATAAACTCATGATAATGATCTATCTGCATCCAACACAGCATTACCAACCATGTAAACAACACAGCATTACCAACCATGTAAACAACACAGAATTACCAACCATGTAAACAACACAGCATTGCCAACCATGTAAACAACACAGCATTACCAACCATGTAAACAACACAGCATTACCAACCATTTAAACCACCTGAGAACCACTAGTGTTAGTGACTCTCAGATAAACACAGCATTACCAACCATCTATTAAGAGTCACAAGTGGAGAGGTTCCTCTGAGCACTTCTAATCTTATATGACTACATATGACAATGTCAGACCACGGAGGAAAAATGAAACAGGAATTTCCTTAAGTACTTTCGTATATTAATACATCTTCAGAAGGAGTGTATAAATACATCTTCACTCCTTCTGAAGATGTATTAATATACAAAAGTACTTAAGGAAATTCCTGTTTCATTTTTCCTCCGTGGTCTGACATTGTCACATTTTTAATCACGTGTTTATTTTCGTGATATACACACATGACTACATATACATATATATATTACTCACTCTGTTGTTTATACATTACTTTCTACATTCACCTTTTTTTACTTCCATTCATCCCATGTACAGAACATTCTTCTTTATTGCTTTTGCTCATTCTCTCCCAAGGCACCTTATGTACAGTATGTAGCCCTGTAAACTTTCATCCAGTCCTTTCTCTATTTCAGATGCTTCACTCGTGTCTTCATTAAGTGACTGACAAGCAGTCATAGAGTTGACTGAGAGTCAACTGGTGGTGACAGTTGACAGTCAATAAGGTGACTGACTGGTGGGCATGACAAAGTGTATACAATGGTTGAAAATAACCTGATATTGGACTAATCCTGCTCTTTTGGTCAAAATAGAGATGAAAATACTTTTAAACAAATATAACATATTAAAGTGCACATATCTGATGCCCTGAGCTCGCCAAGGTTTTATTGATGAACTTACAGGAATGGAGAAACATTTGTTTCCCTTTGGGCCCGGAAGTCCTGATAAACCACGCTCACCAGGCAGACCCGGTGGTCCTTGGGGTCCTTCTTGGCCTATAGATTGAGATTAATATACATTAGGTAATCCATAGCTGCATTCAAGAAACATGGCTACTGTTCAAAGCTCACAATATGCACTCGGCTAAAACCCTAGTTATGAAAAAGCAATTATAAAATTTCCACTTCTCCCATAAATACACACTATGTATTAGTTCTCTAAGTATTATACATGTCTTTTCTAACAATTCTCCACTCTTCATGTACCCTATGTGTGTACTCTTGCATAAGGTACGGTAATTATGAAAAGAAAGTTCTAAGCCAGTATGACTATATCAAATTTGGAAGAGACATGGGGACAAGGAACTGGGATATGATGGAGGGATGAAATGGTGTACAACCACTTGGAACATAGGATAATGAGTGCAGACCTGCAAGAAGCAAGGCCTCCGCTGTACTGACCAGTTCAAAATGGTAGGGAGTACTCTTCCATAAATAACAATAACCATTATAATTATTATTATGATAAAAGGACTAAAAATTAGGCATTAGAAGCCATAGCTTATGCAAATTTCCACAAATTTGCTCAATGATATCCCTCTTGCATGCAATCTCAGTAAATTCCCTCCTTATGAGTCCCAGTCAAGACATCTGAAAGATGACAATGATCTTTAATTATTAAAATACGTAAACAAATTAAGTTAAATTTGCCTTTTGGACTTATCAACTACATGCATAACATTTCATACAGTACATTCTGTAGTTTGACTTGGGCATTACGTCTCTAATTTGGAACTACTCTGGGCTGGTTTGGATCATTTTGTGGAAGCCCTTTAACCTGCTGCTAGACAACACTATATGAACTGCTTATCTAGAGCAGGTATACAATCAAACAAAGGCATGTGGCTAGTTTACATTCAAAACATGGAAAATTGTTGGTTTATATTTTAAAACATAAGTGGCTAGTTAACATTCAAAATATGATGAGTGAAGTTCTTGATCATTGTTGCCCTAAATTTCCATATGTGAAACTGCATAAAAGTAACCCGACACAAAAAAGCTTAATCTTAGACTGCAGTGAGGTGTGTATATCTCAACACACACATTATTTTGGTAGTGTTGCAGGAATTACAAATACTACAGTGCACCACATTCTTATGCAGGCGATGAGTCACAATAACGTGGCTAAAGTATGATGACCAGACCACACACTAGAATGTGAAGGGACGACGACGTTTCGGTCCGTCCTGGACCGAATCGAGTCGATTGTCTCACAATCGACTTGAGAATGGTCCAGGACGGACCGAAACGTCGTCGTCCCTTCACATTCTAGTGTGTGGTCTGGTCACCACATTCTTATCTCTCACTAGCAGGAGATGGAAATTTATATTGACTTATAAGGTTTTTTAAGAGAAATAAGTTAAGACATTAGTAAAAATCAAGCTTCATGTATAACTACAAGAATAACGTATTCAAATCTAAACCTAAATGACCAGTAGAACATTAGACATGGAGAAGGAGACAGACAGACAAAGAGAATGACATATATTAAACTTAACATACAACATATCTACACGAACAGATACATGAACTGTATCACGTACCTGGAAGCCCCGCATCTCCCTTATCTCCTTTCTTTCCTGGAAGTCCTTCTCTTCCGGTGTTACCAGGCTGTCCTGGACCCCCAGGTGCACCTTGAGGACCCCGTGGTCCTGGAATTCCATCAATGCCATCCCTTCCCTTGGGTCCTGGCAAGCCTCGTAGACCTGGTGGCCCTTGAGGTCCCGGCTCCCCGCCCTACAACAGTCACAATTTTATGATAGAAAAAAATTAAAAAACAAGAGTGATAAAAAATTTAAAGAATGCACCATTTCCTTTACCGTTGATCCTAAATAACTTACATTTACAATGATATTATTATTATTATTATTATTATTATTATTATTATTATTATTATTATTATTATTAATAATAATAATAATAATAATAATATAATAATAATAATAATAATAATAATGAGAAAATCAGTAGGAGCCGTGAGGAGGGTTCGAACCTATGCTCTGTGTACTCCCAAGCACACACCTTAGACCACTACACCACAACATGGTAAAATAATTGCAACCTGGGATTTATCTGGATCCTCGAGGATTCTTGAGACTTCCACTGAAGCCTAATCAGGGTTTCACACAATTCCCTCCCACCCTCCCCCCCAATGCATTTTGGCTTTGTAGTTTGGGAATTCTACCTTCAATACCTCTTTTCAAATGCACAAGGAAATCCCATTAACATGATGTAGCAATGAGAAAATCAATAATATATGATAAAAACCCACACGTGTGAATTTGTAAAATTTATGTAAAGAATTTATACCCAAGTCTTTTGCAATCTCCTGAGTGCTTTGCCAAAGTCTGAGTGTGTGATTAGGACGAGACTTACATCTCAACGACTAATGGGAATTAGACTCATTAGTCGTCGAGATGTAAGTCTCGCCCTAATCACACACTCAGACCTTGACGAAGCACTCAGGAGAATGCGAAAGACTTGGTGTAAATTCCTTACATAAATTTCACAAATACACACATGTGGGTTTTTATCCTATATTATCATGTCTGTGAGAAGACATTACCATCACTTAAATGAATAATAATAAAAATAAAAATAATAATAATAATAATGATAATAATAATAATAATAATAAAAATATAACATGAGTGTCTTAACAATGCTATCAGAAACTAACGATCTTTTTACCAAAATTAACACAAAAGACTTGAGAAATATCTAAGCAATTCAGATTTTCTTTCATTAATTTTTAATACAGTAATTCTACGCACTTGTTTTGAATGTGTTATTCTTTCACATTTATTACTTTTTAAAGTCCTTTTCAATATTGAAACAATTATTATACATTTTAAAACTTAAGAGCACAATAGCAATTTTCTCAAAGCCTATAACAGTCATAGCTTTAATTCTGATACAATACCAATCATTTGAAGGTTTTCAATTCTACTGGCTTCCAATAATTCAACTTTTGATCAATTAAATACAGTAACAAGACTTATTTACAAGAATCTGCAATGTAGCTTATTGGTTACCAAACCAATGTGATGAAAAATACTAATGTGGTAATGTGATGAAAAATATTAACCACGATGTAATGGTAATGTAATGAAAAATACTAACCACAGTGTAATGGTAATGTAATGAAAAATACTAACCACAGTGTAATGGTAATGAAATGAAAAATACTAACCACAGTGTAATAGTAATGAAATGAATAATACTAACCACAATGTAATGGTAATGAAATGAAAAATACTAACCACAATGTAATGGTAATGTAATGAAAAATACTAACCACAGTGTAATGGTAATGAAATGAATAATACTAACCACAATGTAATGGTAATGTAATGAAAAATACTAACCACAGTGTAATGGTAATGTAATGAAAAATACTAACCACAGTGTAATGGTAATGAAATGAATAATACTAACCACAATCTAATGGTAATGTAATGAAAAATACTAACCACAGTGTAATGGTAATGTAATGAAAAATACTAACCACAGTGTAATGGTAATGAAATGAAAAATACTAACCACAGTGTAATGGTAATGTAATGAAAAATACTAACCACAGTGTAATGGTAATGTAATGAAAAATACTAACCACAGAGGGTCCTGGAGGTCCACGGTCACCCTTCGCACCATCCCGGCCACCGTAACCACTGTCACCTTTATCTCCTTTCAAACCAGGCAAGCCGTCCAATCCATCAGGACCTCGGTCACCCTTATATCCATTCGGTCCTGGAGGACCAGCAACACCCTCTCGTCCCTGCGTGTTTTTTTTTTATCATTACAATTCCCTTACAAATTTTAAATACATATTTTATCACTTAGTATCTCTGAGTTGCTTTGTAATATCATATGTTGAGTAAATACTTCCCTACCATATGATATTTGGTCTACAAAGCAACCTTAGACAAATTTCAATTAATAAAATTGCCTGCATGTCAAAGAATCATAATACTGTACTATAATTTGTATGATAATGTATTAGCTACAAGTGTGTTAGTAATTGATTTCTAACTAGTTTCTCCGTTTATTTTAAACACAAACTTTCAAACCAGTCCTGTTGAAACAAATTTTTCTGAGCAAAAATTAAAATAAGACAAGACAAGCCCATCTTTTGGTTAAAATCTGGGTGTAAAGAGAACAGAGGGGTAGGTTCTATGTGATACAGCTAAATGTGTTCTTCTTAACCTTAATGTTTGTCTTTTGCCAGACATCTTTGATCTCCAATCAATCAAGAACCATCTTTGGAGCTATATTTTGAACTCAAACATATACAGTGGTGCCTCGGTTAACGAATTTAAGCCATTCTGGCACCGAGCTCGTCATGTGAAACGCTTGTTTTGCAAAACAACACCACTCGTTGGAGGTGTCCAAGGGAACCAGCGGGAACGCTAGGAAGCACCACAGGGTTTTCTCGTTAACCGAGCTAAAGCTCATCACTCGAGACAAATTTTCTGCGAGTGGTTTGCTCATTACCTGAAATGCTCGTAGATGAGGCTACTCATCACTGGAGGTTCCTCTGCATTTTAATTTTCCAATGCCATACACTGTTTAGTGGGCAACTTTACCTCTGAAATAAGTATAACAAGCCAAGTTTTCCTGACATTATCTATTTTTCTAACTTTGTTCTTATGGATAGCTAAAGCTTTCCATTATATTATATGTTTTTATTTTTTAATTTGAGTTCAAACTAACATAGAAATACAGTATGACCAAACCTAATATTTCTAACCTAACCTAAGCTATCTTAACCTGACCAAACATAGCTAAGTTAGTAATTCAAGTTCTTAATATAATATTAATTCAAACAAACCAATTTTAACAAAATTGTGAAAATAACAAAAATCACTCTGCTTGTTAGTCAAATTGGGGCTTACAGACTGGGCCAAGTAGTATGTTCTGGCTATTACGTATGACATACACTACATACAAATTGTATGTATATGTACATACATACATACAAATTTATATTTAGAATCATCATCTGACAATACAAGTTTTTGCTAAAAAAAAAAAAAAAATTTTAGTTTAAGATAAACTCATTTGGAAAAAAGGAAATGCCTTTTATACTATTCACGTTTAAAATCAGACCACATTTCCAGTGTTCTTACTTGTCGGGCTACAGATGCCTTTGATAGCTACAGTACTCTCTAAGAAGGGGGAGGCCACATTATAATTTTTCTTCTGTAGAATAGATCATTGCAGAGGCAAGGTTGACCACCCATAATGCATCATCAAAAGAATGGGAGATGAAGACTAATGATAATTTTTTTTGTATTTCTTTGATATTGTATTTGGCTTGTGGTGACATGCTTGGCAGTGCAGAACTGAGTCCGCACAACTCTGCCAAGAAATTGGGAAGGTAAGTCTAGGGGGTCTTACTAAATTGAAGATAGAAAAGATTGAATGATTGAAATGATTGTTTGCAATGATTACAATAATTACCTCAGAAACTACAAAGATGAGTTTGGTTTGGCTGCTTTAATTGATGTTAGTTTGGGTAAGATTAAAATTGGACTGACATTATTTCAAGTGTTAGTAATAATAAGTAATCATCCTAGTCAACTAATCATTCAATCATTTAGAGTATAACTCTGTTTTGGAGTCTTGCAAAACACACAACTTAGCACACCCAAAGAATATGCAGAAAAAGTTGTAATAGCACCCAGATACTTACCGGTGGTCCTGGGTAACCTGGAAGACCTTTCTCTCCTGATGGCCCTCGAGGACCTGGGTAACCCTGGGCACCTCGGTCACCCTTGCTGCCCTTCTGCCCCTCAGATCCTGGTAGTCCTTGGTTACCTTTCTCACCCTACAAAGAATTATATTTTTCTTTAATACTGTACTACATATCTAAATATACCAGCTATGTAATTAATTACTGTATGAAGACCAAAGGTTACAAATCATCTAAACAGCTGTAACACCCAGAGACCTACCCTTATGCCAGGTCAGAGGTCAGCCACCTGCAGAATTGAGTTGTTTTGGTTGTGCAAATGATCTTGATGGGAACATAATTAATCTCCCCCTCTTTGAGAGGTGCAAGATAGTTGTCAAACAATTTTAATTAAAAAAATTCTTGGGTGTATAGCACGTGGGGCACAGACCACCCATACAAACCTCTCACTTGTAGGTTAGAAACAGCTCCCCCCCCCCCAAACCAGCTGATCTAGGGTCAGCTTTGGGGGTATATAAAATGCCCATGTGTGGGAGATTAAGACAGAGTGACCATTAAATGACAGGAGCCGGACCGGTCATCCATGGTCCGGAGACAGAGTGAAATCCACCGGGTCGAGAGGCAGTAGTTATAGGCAATGTGTGATTTCTGAAGGTATTATTCCGTGTCTAAATTACTTAACATTTGCCAGTGTAGGATAGTAAAGAATTTGCTATTTTCTAGATAGTAGGGACTTAGAATACTGTTGTGGAAATCATAATGTTGGCTTAATAAACTCTTGTTAAATTTATATCTGCATGTGTCACTTGGTTTTCCCTTTTGTCATCTCCCGTGTTTGTCATCAAGGCCATTGAACCTGCCAAATTCTCCAGAATCAGACTGTCTAACATACAGTCACTAAGGGATTACATCAAAAGAAGAATTCTCTCAGTACAACAGTGGTTCCTGTATTATTGCTGTGTATGTTTTAATATCTCATTAAGACATGATGGTGGCAGCATTAGTTAATAAGTTTTCTCTGTTTAGCATTTCCTTGAAAATGTACCATTGGTTCAGAGTGTAAACCACCATTGTTATACAATACTGTATTTCAGTTCATATTACTTTGAATATTTAAGCAAGTGTTAAAAAATACTAGTGTTACCAAGTGTTACACAGACATTTACTACACATGAGCTGTAATCAAAATCATACAGTACCGAACTGTAGCGTATAATGAAGAACCATTCTGCACCGAGGAATAACATAAGTGGACAAAACAAAATGATAAAATATAATGATTTAGTAAATGAAAGAAAACAGTAGTGTATAAAACATAAATACAGAACAATACATGAGACATAATTTACACTGCAATTGTTGCATGAGGCACTGATTGATGGAGAAATTTTTAAGTATTGACTAAAGGTAAAAAAAAAATATTTATTTCCTTTTGTCCTACTTGCTATGTTCTAGTTGTGGCATTCAGAAAGTTTTCTTAAGTTACGAATTTTTTCTTACTTTAAAGCTCTGAAGATTTCTTAATTTACCAATTGAAAATGTATCAAAACTAAAGTCATTTTGATTATCATTAAACCTGCTGCCGTAAATCTTACCAACTCCCATTAGATCAGGGGAAACATCCATTTCCAATACTTTTATATTTTATAAAAGCATTGAATTTGTATTCTTGTCCTGTACAGTATTTAGCAAATATAATTACGTAAGTGTAGTTACAGGATGAGAGCGATGCTTGTGGTGTCCCATCTTCCCGGTACTCTTTGTCATATGACACTTTGAAACTACTGACAGTTTTGGCCTCCACCACTATATGATGCTATTAATAATAATAATAATAATAATAATAATAATAATAATAATAATAATTTTTATTTAGGTAAGGTACATACATAAAGAGATTTTACAAAGTTTGTTGGCTTTATAGATAGAGCTAGTACATAAAATGCCTAAAGCCACTATTACGCAAAGCATTTCGGGCAGTTAATGTAAAGACAAGTTGCCATGTAAGTGAATCGAGTGTTAAAACTGCCACCTTATATGCAAAATTACAGCAAATAGTGAAGGACAAGGAGAAAGGGTCCAACCAAATTGAATGTAGTGAATGGAAGAACGTAGAATTCTATTATGTATTTTGCTCATTCTGCATGACCAAGAAAAAAGACAAATTAATATGTATTTTCTGTAACATGCATATCTGATCAAAATGTGAGACAAGTAAACTCACCATTTCCACTATAGTGAAGGAGGTACAATTTGGTTGTAAGACATCCTGTATTGTACAATTATTGGCATCACCCTTAGCTCCCTTTTCACCCTTTTCTCCTGGCACACCTAACACAGTCAAACCCATAGGACCTTTGTCTCCTTTGCTTCCAGGATACCCCTTTTCTCCCTGCAAAAGAAATTCTTTTAATACAAATAAGAATTATAAGGTAATCAAATTTAAATAAAATGTGTATATTATATAAATTCTATTAATTGAATTAACATACAGTGGCACTTCAACCTACGACTGCCCCTACTTACGAATCCTAGAACAACCACGAAAGGAAGGACAAGACAACCCTATCAGAGACAGAAGTAAACCTACGAAGTGATAAGAAATAATGGAAGGACCCCCAGGAAACTTCATACTGCTGCGAGACGAAGCACGCAGGTGGGATACCATCAATGAAGTCACCTGCTCACCATACAAATAGTGATAGACCCGCGTCAGAAAGACCAGACGCAAAGACTTGAGGAGAAGATTGAACCAGCTATGTAACGGACTGGTCCGATCAGCCGAACGAGGCAGACCCACGGAAAGACCCCAGGATTCGGACACTGAGCAAGCTGCGCCTGAAACCAAGGCTGGGCCGGCTACCAAGGGGCCAGAAGAACTATTCTCCCTTGGTAAGTCTCCAAGTGAACTAGGACCTGGAGCAACAGCGGAACCGGGAGGAAGAGGTACAGGTAACCCCAACTTGACCAGTCCTGCCTGAAGGCATTGACCCCAGCAGCCTCACAGTCGGGGAACGGCACCACATGTACAGGGAGATGCCTCGACCACGGCAACGCGGAGAGATCCACCTCTTGGAGCCCATACGTCCGGCAGAGCCAACTGAATGAGTCGGCGTCAACTGTCCACTCCGTGGACGGCGGAATGAACCGAGACAGGCCGTCCGCTGGTGAGGAGGAGGCGAGGTGTTATTGTTTGTCATGGAAGTTTCTCTACCATAAACACTTCAGGTAATTGTGCTTCTGGAGTTCTTTCTCTTTTTCTATCTTTTTATACTTCCATCTTGAGACTCACTGGATGCTATTCTTACAAGAAACTTGTCCAACTTGGGCATACCAAACTCGGTAGCAAGAGTAGACACACGGGCACCACTTTAATATTTTGCAATGAGGTCTTTTTTCATCTCTATCATGGTCCTAACTAATTTTCTTTTCATTTGGCTCTTATCACTAACTTTCTTAGGCACCATGGTGACTTATTTATGCTAAGAATATAAAAAATATCTTAGAAAACACGAGAAAGTTTACTGAGTAGTTAAGATAGGTACCGAACAACAGCTTCTTGGAAACTAATTTATCTGTTACGTGTGTTTATGTTTGAGTGCCAAGCAAACAGTCAACTACCGAGCACAAACACAGCGTTCGAGTGCTGAATTGTTTGAGTGCTGAATTGTTTGAGTGCTGAATTGTTCGAGTGCTGAATTGTTCGAGTTAGTAGCTGTTCAAATACCAAGGTTCCTCTGTATTTAAAGTTTTTATCCAGTTAGTTTGTCAAGAACAGCTCCTGTTTTTTTCTCTCATATCCTTTCCAACAAATTAAGTCTTCTTTGAAAGATTTATATTATCTATCTTTCTTTTAAATAATTCAGAGCATCTGTACATTTCTTTTTCACAATTCTTTCATCTAACAAGTATTAAACTTGTCTATCCCTCCTCAAGAAGCCTTAATACATCTTCCTTTCAGAAAATCTACTTTCCATCACCTACATATTGTCTTCTTCTATTATTTCTTAAATTTATCAAAGCTCTTAAGCCCAGCTTCCACTACACATACTGTATTGGGCATAACTTGGCGACCCCTCACAGTGTTCAGGAGAGAACTTGTCAAGCACCTCCAAAGGATACCTGATCAACCAGGCTGTGACTCATACATCAGGCTACGAGCAGCCGTGTCCAACAACCTGGTTGACCAGTCCAGAAACGAGGAGGCCTGGTTGACGACCGGGCCGCGGGGACACTAACCCCCAAAATCATCTCAAGGTAACCTCAAGGTAAGGTAAGGTAGCTATAAATATTGAGTACCACTGATTCAATTTTCTTCGTCTCATATTCCTTTTTGTTTCATCTTTATTATAAGGATCATAAAATAAGATATGACATCACTAAAAACTTCCAACTCACCTGAATTCATATTAAAATTTCACTTAAAATGTCAGCCTTTTTTCTTTATCCTTTATCATAGTAATTTTATTTTTATTTCATAATGTTTTCAATATTCTTTTCCAAAACACACCTCAAAGAAATTCACCATTTGATCTAATTAATTTCCTTGTTTTTTAACTTCTCAGCCCTGACTTTATCAGAATGAAATTCCCCCCAAAAAATTCCAAATATTTTTGCTTTTAAATATAAACTAAATTTTTGTCATGTACTTCCATTCATTTATACTTTACTGGAAACAAAATATTTATGTTCCAAAACAGTTACAAGAAAACTGCCATAAACAAAACTTGTTATAATAATAATATAATAATAATTTTTATTTAGGTAAGGTACATACATAAAGAGATTTTACAATCTCTTTACCTTCAATCCACTTGCTCCTGGGTATCCCGTCTCGCCTTTGGGGCCAGGCACACCCGCAGGTCCCTGGGGCCCCTGTCTGCCATCACGCCCCGGCTCTCCTTTCTCTCCTTTGTCTGTGGTACACGGTCCAATGGCTGGTTCTCCCTTTAATCCTTTCTGGCCTTCAGGACCACGGAATCCTCGAGGGCCGGGTGGCCCGGGTATGCCTGGCAGGCCTGGTGAGCCCTGAAAGATTCATTAAATTTAATTAAAAAAATTTCATAAAGAAAATAAAGCGCATGCAAATGTGTTCATGGCAAATACCCTAAAATGTGAATGAATATTTAAATTAATGAATAATTTGGACATTTACTTGGATGCTGTACACTAAGACAAAAACTAATACTGTACAAAAGAAAGATTTGAAATCACCTAAAAGATATATCCCCACATTAATCCTCTAAGATAACACTCATGATTTAAAGCCTTGGGACTGGCCAATCAAATGTTTTAAATCTACTCTAAGTCACTAACAAAGTTATATAAAGAGTGCCCAAATGAAGCATAATATAGGTACTGTATGCTACTATCATGCTGATAATGAATGCCGAATTATAAAAGTTTATTGACAATGACGTACAATGTGCTGCAATGAAGTACAAGTGTTGCTCGTGCAGACAACAATGAATTTAAACCTCAAAGTTGGTCAAAATGATGCAGAACTAAAGATACCACACTCCCACTGGGCAAGACCATGCATAGGGCACTGATACACTGTCAATGTGCAGCATATGTTAAGTTGAAGTGAGTCCAGTTATTTTATATCAATTTAAATGTGTATCTTGTTATGTGTGCCAAGACTATCTGTATTAGATGCATGAAATTTTATGTAATCAGGTATATAACATATGTAATATCCAATTACATAATTTCACGTAAACCTTTGTCAATTTTATAACCTATTGTCGTGTAAAAGCAATTGCTTCAAACCAAAAGATGTACAGTATATTGAACTTTCTGCCCAGTGAATCCGGTTTCTGGATTCTGGATTCCAGAAACCGAATCTGGATTCCTCAATCCAGTTTTTTACAAGAACTTTAAGGTGTCGTTGAGTGCCATAACTATACATACATCTGTACCATTGCAGCCGTCCAGCCCTGGTCTGCCTGTGGGCCCTGGAGGGCCTGGGATACCTGGAATTCCGTTGATACCGGGGAAGCCATTAAGACCCATTTTACCCTGAAAAATATTGCTATGTTAATAACTCTTAAAGAAAAATTTCACATCTCTTAAAAAAAAATAAAAAAAAAAGTTCCAAAGATAATAAAATAGAAAAAACAAACAAATAAATATAAGTAATACATGGGGCCAAAAATTTACTTCATCCATACAAAACAAATGCATTTCACTCATGCTGAGGATAAATCAATAACATACGTTAAATTATGCATAATTTTCAAAGGACTACTGTATTAACTTTCGTATGTACAGTACTGTACCTGACCATTAAATCTAATGTTTATATTAGCATTCCTGAATTTATTAAATATATTTATTAAATTAGAATCTTTCATGGATTTTATGAATCTGAAATAATTTATTATTCCATGCCAAAATTCTGTTTCTTTAATAAGTGGATGGCAAAATCAGTCACTATACTTGTTATTAATGCTGATCACAATATCCCGTAAAATATACTTGCTTGTGCTAATTACTGTATATTCAATGGAATATTTTATCCCTTCAATACAGAATATTCAAAGAAATACAGTACTGTAATGGAGAACTTACAAGATTATTGAAATTATTATTACAATAGTAATACAATACTCTGTTACTATTACAACCAAAGCTACTCCTTAGCATCCTTAAAACAAAACAAATCACTAAAATAAATGCCAAGGCTTACTCGGTCACCCTTAGGCCCTGTTGGCCCCTGAGGACCGTGTTCTCCTTTGCTGCCCTTCGGTCCCATCAGCCCCTCCATGCCGGGAAAACCCTGCTGGCCCTTCTCTCCTGTTGGTCCAGGAAGCCCCGGAGATCCCTGCAACGACGGTACTTTCTCAATATCAAAGTTAAAACAATATGTTGCAATATTTCATGTTTCAAAGCAATATGTCTATGGTAGCTGGTTGTGATAATTGATATACTGTATATCGTATAATAGAACAGCCAAAAATACAATTATATTAATACTTTACTATGATAAATTCATGGATTGGTGATATTGTTTATTATTATATTTACTATAGGAGTGTATTATAGTACATTTAATTGACTTTTATTACAAATACTGTAAATTCAAACAACTAAATTGATCAAGATGCCAAGATAATGACATCAAAAATCTTATTTTTTCTATTTATTTTACTGATTTAAATTAAAAGAAACCTGATATACAGTACAGTACAATATATCAAAGGTTAACTTCCAAACTGGGTATATTTTACATAACTTTTTAAAGTATGATTAATGATTTTACTCAAAAATCAAAAATTATTTTAATTTATAAATCTACAAATCCTAAATCAAAATGTAAAATCACATAATTGAGTAAAATTATGGGTACTCACTCTAGAGCCTTTCTCTCCTATGCATTTGCAACCATTGTTATTGCAGTCTCCTCCACCACATTCTAACTCGGGGACTTGTTCCGGGCGCCTTGGAAAAGGCCGGGGCTGCACTTGTGGCTGCGAGGACCTATCAGCACCTGCAGCACCATAGGCACCTCCTTCATCACTTCCACTGCCTCTGCCATATCCTCCACCAGCAGATCCACTGCCATATCTTCCATCAGCAGTTCCACTGCCATATCCTCCACCAGTGGTTCCGCTGACATACCCCCCACCAGTGGTTCCGCTGACATACCCTCCACCAGTAGTTCTGCTGCCATATCCTCCACCAGTAGCTCCACTGTCATATCCACTACCAGTTGTTCCACTGACATACCCTCCACCAGTGGTTCTGCTGCCATATCCTCCACCAGTGGTTCCGCTGACATACCCTCCACCAGAGGTTCCGCTGACATACCCTCCACCAGAGGTTCCGCTGACATACCCTCCACTAGAGGTTCCGCTGACATACCCTCCACCAGAGGTTCCACTGACATATCCTCTACCAGCAGTTCCACCGCTATATTCACCTTCAATGCCACTTTCACGAGTTTCTTCACCTCCTGTGTATCCTTCTCTGGTACCACCAACTACATATTCTCTTCTGCCAGCTATACCTCCTCCATAACCTTCTCTGTCACCAGCCCCACCTCCATACTCTTCACCAGTACCACTTCTATCATGCTCTTCTCCAGGACGGGTTCCGTATCGGTCATCAACATCTACACGCCCCTCTCTTTCACTGTCACTTCCAAGTCTCCCACCAGCACTTCCATAGCTGGCTCCATAACCACTCCCAGCACTATGTGTTCCATATCCTCCTCCACCACGACTGTCCTCTTCATTACCATATTCACCTCCTCCATACTCCTCTCTTCCATCTCCTCCATACTGCCCTGCTCCACCTCCTCCATACTGCCCTGCACCACCTCCTCCATATTGTCTTGCTCCACCTCCTCCATATTGTCCTGCTCCACCTTCTCCATACCTCACTCTTCCACCAACCCCGAACTGTCTTCTTCCACTATTAACTCTGTATCTTACGTCAGAACTGCCACCTCCAGAACTGTCTCCATATCCACTCCCATAAGTGTGGTCCCCAAACTGGCCATTCTGTTCAAAACTCCCCCCGCTACTGCTAATATGGCCTCCTCCGCTTCCCTCACCATAATACCCGTCCTGTATATCCCCTTGGCCACCATCACTGCCATAGCGATTTCTGAAGGTATAAGTAGTGCCATTATAGGTGCCGGGTCTGTCACTGTTATCGAGATCTTCTGCATTATATCTCCTGTTATAAGTGTAAGTGATACGGCCATCTGCCCTGTCTCTATCACTAAATCTTTTGCTGACGTCACTGCTTTCACTGTCAGAGCTGAGCCCGCTGTCATTGCCTTCATTCCCGTAGGTAAAGGTGTAGTTAAAGCTATATTTTTTGCCACTATGGCTGGCATTGCCAACTTTGTCATAGGGCTGACTGTCTAGGCTATCATCACTTGATGGGCTTCCTGTGGAAAGCTCACTTTCTATTTCACTATCACTTTGCTCAACACCTTCATAGTCGTAATTATCTTCTGTATCATTATCAAGCTGTTGAGACTTATCCTGAGAGTTATAAACAAACGTTTCACTTGAGGGTTCTGAAGAGAGATGAGCTGTAGGACTGCCTTCCGACGTCGATTCCTCTCCCCATAACCAATTCTGCAAGAGGATAAATTATATAATTAGAAGACAAATTTATATTATATTATACAATATAACACTTATTTTATAGCTAAAAGTCATAATTATAAATACTCCAAATTCTTTATTATTTAATGTTGTATATTCTTTATCAAGTGGCAGGATTTTTTGGCTTTGCTTTGTTAATTTTAAATACTGCATGTATTAATCACACAAGTTTTTAACTATAACAAACAAATAGTGACATTAACCGAGTAGGTGGTTAATGTCAACCCTTTCAACATGGGTTGAAAGCGACAGTCTTGACGTAATGCTTAATACGTCAAGTCAGTTGCTCTCAACCACTGAGACTGGAACTATCATTGATAATATTGGATCACCGTTACTCTAACATCATCTCCCTGCTGGGGTAGGTGGGTTTATGTATTATTGGATCACCGTTACTCTAACATCATTTCCCTGCTGGGGTAGGTGGGTTTATGTATTCCCAACTCGAGCATTATAGGAACAATATAACCCCGTTTTTTAGTGAAGAAGCTGAACATGCTTCCACTTGTTCTACATCAGATTCAGATTCAGATTCAGATGTTTATTCAGGTAAGGTATATACATACAAGTGATGTTACATTAATGGATTGATATATAGATAGAGCTAGTACATACAATGCCTAAAGCCACTATTACGCAATGCGTTTCGGGCAAGAAAAACATTAATATCTAGAACTTAATACTAATTGAGCATAAAGAATAAAAAGTGTTGAGAACAAATACATGAAATACATGAAAATAAAATATGCAACGTTCATAAACACACTGTAGAATACAGATACACATTAACAATAATTCCCTACCTGTGTATACAATATATATATAAAATTTAGGCTTGCATTGAAACCACCCCCTCCCAAGATGGACCTACTGACCCTCCCCAGGATGCAACCCCACAACAGTTGCCTAGCTCCCAGGCTACTGCTAGGTGGACAGAGGCATTAAGTGAAAGGAAACATGCCCAACCATTTCTATCCCGCTCGGGAATCAAACCCGGGATCCTCAACTGTGAATTGAGAACATAGACAACTGTACTACAGCATCATGTTAAAACATCCCAGCAGGCCTTGTGAAGGCATCGTTGAAAACGTAGTGATCCAATGTTGATTAAACGTTAGTTTAACATGCTCTGCCTGCTAGTTAAAGTCATCTGTCCAACATTGTACAGTGATTTAAATATTAGGTGTCAATGTTTAACAGCAGTCCCGTGGCGAAGTGGTAAGACACTCGCCTGGCGTTTCGCAAGTGCTTTGGCCTGGGTTTATATCCTGGCCGGCAAGGGGCGCCAATCCTTAACTGTAGCCTCTTTTCACCCAACAGTAAAATGGGTACCTGGTTGTTAAACAATTTGGCGGGTTGTATTTCGGGGGGAAATTAAGATTAAGGACTTGTCCGAAATGCTATGCATGCTAGTGGCTGTACAAGAATGTAAGAATTCTTGTATATACTGTATAAATAAAATAAATAAATGTTAAACTACCTCGTTCAACCACAGTTTGGCAACACTTGCTCACTGTTGAATGTTGAGATAACTATACTTAATCACTACTACTGTATCATGAAAGATAAATGGCAAAATTCAGTTTAATAATAAACATTAACTGAGAACTATTTAGCAAACTCAGTAGCTTTATTAAGGCTCTGTTTCCATTTCGGCTCTGCCCGAAAAGCTATGTGTGCTAGTGGCTTTACAAGAATGTAAAAGATTAGTGATTTTTACTCTCATAAACCCAATGTACCTTCTTGTATATAAATAAATAAATAAATAAAAATAAAAAATAGAATTAAATATACAAATGAGAATCAGAACCAGTTATATCTCGCAGTATACCTGACTTTAAATGTTTTTTTTTTTTTTTTTTTTTTTTTTTTGAGATATATACAAGAGTTGTTACATTCTTGTACAGCCACTAGTACGCGTAGCGTTTCGGGCAAGTCCTTAATCCTATGGTCCCTGGAATACGATCCCCTGCCGCGAAGAATTGTTTTTTCATCCAAGTATACATTTTACTGTTGCGTTAAACAGAGGCTACAGTTAAGGAATTGCGCCCAGTAAATCCTCCCCGGCCAGGATACGAACCCATGACATAGCGCTCGCGGAACGCCAGGCGAGTGTCTTACCACTACACCACGGAGACTTCTTATATATTATACTCTTTAACTAGAATTTTAACAATTACTGTACTATTGTTTGTTCTGTGTTGTTATGCATTGGTTATCATATCACAATCAGCACATATATTTTTATTACTGTAATGTAATTATATATGATTAAATTGTAACTATTTGATCACTTGGTCAAATGATTGTACAAGTCTATATGGCACTCAGTCAAGTGCTGTTACTAGCCTATGGCACTCAGTCAAGGGCTGTTACCAGCCTATGGCACTCAGTCAAGAGCTGTTACCAGCCTATGGCACTCAGTCAAGAGCTGTTACCAGCCTATGGCACTCAGTCAAGAGCTGTTACCAGTCTATGGCACTCAGTCAAGAGCTGTTACCAGCCTATGGCACTCAGTCAAGAGCTGTTACCAGCCTATGGCACTCAGTCAAGAGCTGTTACCAGCCTATGGCACTCAGTCAAGAGCTTTTACCAGCCTATGGCACTCAGTCAAGAGCTGTTATCAGCCTATGGAACTCAGTCAAGAGCTGTTACCAGCCTATGGCACTCAGTCAAGAGCTGTTACCAGCCTATGGCACTCAGTCAAGAGCTGTTACCAGCCTATGGCACTCAGTCAAGTGCTGTTACCAGCCTATGGCACTCTAGGCCTTGTGAACATTGCTACTGGTATGTGGTACTAGCGAATGGTATTACATGTTTATTAGCAACGTAAGGTGTTCTCCCCATACTCACCACTGAAGAATGAGTCAAAGTCTCACCACACTCACCACTGAAGAATGAGTCAGCCAGGGTATTACCCACCATACTCACCACTGAAGAAGGAGTCAGCCATGGTATTACCCACCATACTCACCACTGAAGAATGAGTCAGCCATGGTATTACCCACCATACTCACCACTGAAGAATGAGTCAGCCATGGTATTTACCCACCATACTCACCACTGAAGAATGAGTCAGCCATGGTATTACCCACCATACTCACCACTGAAGAATGAGTCAGCCATGGTATTTACCCACCATACTCACCACTGAAGAATGAGTCAGCCATGGTATTTACCCACCATACTCACCACTGAAGAATGAGTCAGCCATGGTATTTACCCACCACACTCACCTCCTGTTGAGGAAGAAAATAAAATTTAAAACCTTGTTATACATGAGTAACTACATATGCTAAGTATGGTATATTCAAATGATTACAAATTATGGGTTTGAATTCTAACAATTATAACGCTTTGAAACTACTGACGGTCTTGGCCTCCACCACCTTCTCACCTAATTCCTTCCAACTGTCTACCACTCTGATTGTGAAAGTGAATTTTCTTATATATTTCTTCCGCAGCTTTATTTAGTTAGTTTAAATCTATGACCTCTTGTTCATGAAGTTCCAGGTTTCAGGAATTCACCCCTATCAATTTGATCGATTCCCGTTACTATTTTGTACGTAGTGATCATATCCTCTACTTTTCTTCTATCTGCTACTTTTGGCATATTTAATGCCTCTAATATGTATTTTTCTTATTGATATTCTTGTTATGTATGTGTACATGTTAGGATTGTATTCTGTATATATGTGTGTATGCACCCATGTGCATGTATGAGTGTGTGTACGCGCGTGCATGTATGTATGTATTCTTGCCGCTCCCTGCCAGGTCCACTTATGAGAATACAACAAGATGTGACATCAACCACCACAAGGACAGTCCCTTTAAACTGAGGGATATTAACACAATAGGACATAGGTGGTAGGTAAACATATATATATATATATATATATATATATATATATATATATATATATATATATATATATATATATATATATATATATATACCTTCCAGTAGCTGGCATAACTAGTATGCTTTAACCCACTACGCCATCAGACCTTACAAAAGAAGTAGATAGTTCGAGATATATATATCTCAAACATCTCTACCTCCCGAAGGCACCAGATGAGTGAGGGGTCAATCTGCAATTTTCGTCAAGCCACTGTCAATGTGAGAGAACTCGTGTCCAGCTTATAATATCTCGAACTATCTACTTCTTTTGTAAGGTCTGATGGCGTAGTGGGTTAAAGCATACTAGTTATGCCAGCTACTGGAAGGTAGTTGTGCTTTCTGGGTTCGAGTCCCACTGGTGGGTGTTGTCCAAAGATTGTTTATCTTCACTTGTGGTTTATGCAAGTATAGGCTTATAAGCTGGACACGAGTTCTCTCACATTGACAGTGGCTTGACGAAAATTGCAGACTGACCCCTCACTCATCTGGTGCCTTCGGGAGGTAGAGATGTTTGAGATATATATATCTCGAACTATCTACTTCTTTTGTAAGGTCTGATGGCGAAGTGGGTTAAAGCATACTAGTTATGCCAGCTACTGGAAGGTAGTTGTGCTTTCTGGGTTCGAGTCCCACTGGTGGGTGTTGTCCAAAGATTGTTTATCTTCACTTGTGGTTTATGCAAGTATAGGCTTATATATAAACAACAACAACTAAACACCACTCAAGCACTACACGAGACCAACAACAACAACAACTAAACAACCACTCAAGCACTAGATAAGAATTCAGCGCGGCCCCCGCTCGGCCTTGACATTTACTGGAGATACAGGAATATAATGTGTTGTTTTGCTTATGATTCATTACAATATACACCCAAGCAGATGCATGTACACATGCGTACAAGCATACACATAACTGTACAAAGTGTACACTCAGAAATACTATGAAGCGCACGCGCGTGCACACACACACATACACACAGGCGGGACCTCAGAGCCAAAGCTCAACCCCCGCAGCAAAATTAGGTGAGTACACACACACAAACACTAACACACACACCCCACAGCACACACACACACACACACA